CATCTTGAATTACGTATCAAGATATGTTTAATTTCGAATAAGACATCAACACTGACAATGTACTACCATTACGTAACTCTGAATAGCACCAAAACGCTTAAGCGTATTGAGCTGCAATCCCTACCATAGCATTTATTCGGCTTTATTATGAAAGCTCTCGTTTAGTCTGTAGTGTCCGCGTATGTCGCCGACCCAATATGGCAATTTTGTAACGCTCAGGGAAAAGTGTACCTTTCTGTGTCTTTTATTGTTGAAGTTAATGGCTATTTTACCGTTTTCCGCTTTTATCTAAGAGGACCTCAAGACAAACCAAAATCACCATTGTTAAATGCATAGAAATGCTTATAACTAAGCAGCACTCCCGGTAAATAATTATGTATTTACTGCAATAGCTCTAATTCTGCTAATTCTAGTGGCAAGTCCTTCGAGAAGGAATATTCAATTCAACTCAAGTCCGTTTTGCAGCTGAGCTCCGGAGGTTAATTCATCGATATCATTTTATGATAAGAATAGCTAAGAATGTATATGTACCTGCACCACTTTATGGCTCTCAGGAAACTCTGGTTCTCGTCAGATAGGCTTGAATTTTGTTTGTAGTATTTTTCTGCTTCATTATTATTCAAGGTGGGTCTTCAAATGATGTTTAAAGACAGGATTCTCAGTAAAAATGGGCCGTGACGTTAAATCTAATATTATGTTGACAATGAGTACCCCAACTCAGGTTCTGAAATGGCTACCTCATTAAAATCCCAGGTCATCGTAGTTTGATCTCTGCATACGTGAGCCACGCTGCTGGACTCTGGGCGGTTTTATCACGTCTCTTTCATCCGAGACGCATCTCCCCGTCGCTGTTTGCGGTACACGTAGATCCGACAGACGGGCGTCTGCATCCGCATGTGGCAATCATCCACTGACCCCAGGGCAATCAGACAAACAGGGTAGTTAGTAGTTACGGACTAGGCACATAAGGGGCGGGGAAGGGGCGACAGGGGTCGGATCAGCACCCCGGGTCGGTGCTGCTGCCATCCCTGTGTTGTGCCCGTCTTGTGCCGCTGTTCAGAGTTATTGCTCGTTGTATTTAGACGTGATGAAGCGACAGGCAGAGATACCATATTGACTCTCAAACACAGCGGCTTACATATGACTCTGTCTGTGTTTTAGATGCGCCAGTGTTGGTCTCGTTGTACTTTGCTGTATTATAATTGAACGATGTGCTCTCACTGAGGTGAACTGGCAGGACGCTGGAAGGCGTGGGCTCGCGCCGGGCAGGTGTTGGCACTGACTGGTCGCAGCGCCCCGTGAGTGGCCTGGGGCTGTGTGTGAGACGGCCCGATACCGGCCAGAGGTGATAAAACAGTGTGTAACGCTGTCTAAGGGAGAGGCGACACCTACCGGCCGGGCGATGCCGCGCGCCGCCCGGCCGGTCAAGGTCATGTGATCGGCGCTGTGATTGGTCAAGGGCAACAGACGGTACGCTGTGATTGGTCGAGGGCGCCAAGCGGTGTGTTGTAATTGAACGAGAGCGCTGGGGGTCAGGGACTGCGAGGGACGTAGCCCTTTGTATATAACTGGGCGGACCTATGATCAGTGGTAGGTTCGTACGGCCGCAGAAGTCGGTCACTTCAGGGATTCGATGAGTGTTGTTCGCTGGGAAAGTCCAGTCCCGGGGAGCCGGCCCCTGTTTCTGTTCGTTTTTTGGATTGCTGTACGTGTCACCAGGATCTTGTTGAGGACGTTCTTAGACGATAGTGTTGTCAGGAGGGGCGGAGTATTGGTCAGGCTCTCGGCGTTCGCTTCTCGCATGGTGTGTGCACTGTGCAGTACTTAGGCTGAGGCAGTGCCGGGCGACCGCCAGCCTGGCATGTTCTTGTACAGTTTTAATATCAGTATATCGTCGGAATAAAGTGGTGTACCGTACTGTGTTCTTTATGCAGAGCTTTTTTATAAACGCTGGGTCGCAACTTCCAAAACAGTTGAGAATGGAGCAGCTAGCGAAGAGTGAAACGGTACGATGCGATCTAAAACAAATATCACATAACAGCCACAAGCCAGAGAAAAGTTTTACGAATGAACACAATGAGCACGACAAAAACTGCTTACAATTTGCACAGAATGCGGCTTTAGTCAAGCAAACACTCTTTTGTTAAAACTTTGGTTTCTTAGACTAATTGGTATTCTGGTCATAAAAATTGACGTTTTCTTCGCCAGTATTTGTTTGCTATTTTTTTTTTATTCGAATATACAGCAAGACATGACAAGCAGTTACGACTTAACGTATTTGGACATTGTTTGGTTAAGCATTCAACAAATAAAACATGCAGCAACCAAACTGGAGCAAAAGATGTGTTTCCTCACATGTCGAAGAATGTGGTAAAAGTCGATATAAAATGTCCTTTTGTCCTTTTATTGGGCTTGTTGGCCAGCATATGTCTACGAAGTCGCCATAAGCGTCAAGGGAAACCGTGAAGAAAAGCTCATCGGCCCAAAAAAAATGCAGCTTTGACCACCATTTTACTAGAGCTGATTGTAGGGGAAGTTGGGGGAATGCCGAATACTTTTTTTCTGACGCCCGTAGCACGCAAGATAGACAACATAAGCTATTCTTGTTGGCGTCATTCGAGAGGCCAGTCTTTTGCCTTTCAAACATACCAGACGCATTTGATGAATTCGCATACCGTTAAGCGCACAAACTAAAAATATCAAAGTAGTGACTTTTTCGGCGTTGCCCCGGACTGCGGGGAAAGCCGAAAATGGGAGAAATGATCTACGGGGAATGCCGACATTAATGTTTTGCCATTTTATCTCAAACTTTATCCAGAATTCATCAAAACTGACACGCGTTTTAAGAGCTTGAGGACGCTTGGTGCACACTGGAAGCTATAATTGTGTGATGTAATAAGAAAATGCCAGGTAAATCATTCCTATAGGTAGCAGGCCGTTGTGTCGGTTTAAAGTGTAATTTGTGTGACTAAAAATACGCGTTGCTATTCTACAGCAGTTAAGTCCACGTAGCGTGCTTTAACGTGCGTAATTGCACGTTTTCGGCATTACCCCAGCCAGTCATACTTTCATTTGCAGGCCCATAACTTTTAAACGTGCTGTATAAATTTCAAATAGGCAGCACACTTATGCAAGGACATGCTGAAGATTACTTGACCGAATTGGCCAGACAAACGGTAGCATAATGAGTAAGAAATACAGCTTCAAAGGCGCATGTAGTACAAGGGAAACGTACCTTGAAAACGCTCTTGGCGCCCTCACAGCCGAAGTGTTCCGAATGACGACTCGTAACAAACATGCCATGATTGTAGTCACTTAAGCTTCAGAACATCACTGACAGGTGGCATCCATGTCGTACAGTTTTCGAAATATCTTGAATTCCGGCTTTGCCCTAACTCCGGCATTGCCCCAACTTCCCCTATGTGGTCAGCATTTTTTGTCGGTCGCCTTATAATGAAAGGCCGGGTACGGTAGGTTACTGTAAAAATGTCAGATTGTGGGGTGGGACCCAGAAAAAGTCAGTGGAGAAAGTCCGATAAAAACTGTTCCGGGCTGCCCTTTCCCATTTCCTTCCATGAAATGGATCAGACACGGAACAGAATAGTCCAGCGTGCGAGACCATGTATTTGGAGGAACTTTGCCTGCCATTTACCGAGACAATTATTACGTACGGTAGTACGTAATAATTCAATAAGGGGCTGCTTACGCAATGGTACTTAATAAAACCCTGGTATCATGCTTTCATTTTTGGCATTATATGAAAGTTCCGTGATACGTTTTTAGCGTAATTTGGAAGTAAAGGTATGTACACCTATGTTGTATATTGCATTCGATCATCTTTCGAACTTTTCTTCAACAACTTTCAACAACATCAACATCAACAACACCAACATCAACTTTTGTTCATTAGCTGATATAAAATAATGCTTGAAACCTGAAATTTCGTAATGCCTAACGTAGCTCCGACCACGTTTGTTTTGCTTTGAAACGGAAACACGATAATTGAACTCACAGGCAAGTGGCAACCGTCGCTAGAACCGAATACTTAATTCATGAGTACCCATTGTTTTGACCCCGATAAGATTTGAAGACAATGCCTTGCCATTTTCAAGTTGTGATTTCGGATGCAAAGCAGATCAGATGCATGGGATGCGTGCTTTGCGTGTGTGTTCCTAACTACATACATTCCCGTTTCTAAATTCGCTCGATCGGCGAAAGCGACAAGACTCACGGCTCCGTCCGAATGTGCCTGACCGCCGCCTGACGACATCGGCCGCTGAGCTTTTTTTGTTGCCGTTTTTTGTCTCCTGGCCACCGGCACGTTTTTTGCGGTGCGGTCGAAGCTGACGCCGGCCGAGGAAGTCGGTCAGTGTGGTGCCACGAAGGCGGCATCCGGAGGTCGTGTCATACGGGGTAAGATGAGGACGTCTCTGTCTATGCAGACTTCAGGCGCCTGATTCTGTCCTGCCTGTGACCCGTACTCGCCAGGTCAGGTCGGAACAGAGTACGCTGGCTCTGCCCTGACCGCCGGTATGGAGCGACAGCAGAGTAGTCCGTGTATACGAATGACTGGCGTCCTCGACAGGCCTTGGCTGGCGGCCGGCAGTTGCGTTTTTTATGACAGTGGTGGGTCGATGGACGGTCCTAGCAACAGCCAAAAATACCAGGTCCACCAGGGCTCATGAAGCCTCTCTCATGGGTTGTTTATCATGCATCCTAAGCGTAGTAAAGCATCAATGTCAATCGGGTAATAAGTGGTGACACATGTATGTCAAATGACAATAGACCACCATGATCTTGAGAAACAGGTCAAAAGTCATTTAGACAAGAATCTTTCCGGTACGCCTTGCCAAATCTGTTAGGAATCATCGCGCACATTGCACTGCCGTGACGTAAACTCTAAGTCCGAACGCTGGAATTCCAGGGTGGGAAAACCGACTACCGGTACATCATAATATTTGTACATACCACCCACCATCTGGGACATTTCATCCTGCGACACTTATAAGCTCAGCGCCAGCGTCTGTCTCTGAACAGCGCATTGCTTGGCAGTTCGGTCCGTCAGTGCATAACGCTGGCACCCGTGCAGGTCTCATCAGCCTTCCCGTTCTAACGCTCATAAGTTCCCGTGTCACTGCCATCTAGTCCCGTGTGACTACCTTCTTCCAGTCCCCTGTACAGTATCACCGTCCTTACGATGGCGTCATCTACTCGTTGCTGGTGGCTGGCCGTCCTGCTCTTCTCCCTGCATACCGCCAGCAGCGCGTCGGTGCCGGTGACGAACCTCTGGGATGAGCTGCAGAATACCGTCGCCGAAGTGGTGCAGGCTCACTGCCCCAGCAAGCAGCAGGTCAGATAATTTACTTTTTACTTATATGGCCATTTGTTTTCAGTCTAGTTTATGATTTGACGAATATGTGTGCCTCCACCGCCGTCTTGTTTCTACAGCAGCATAACCATTTTCAGCATAAAATCATTTACACAGAAACGGCCCGTAATCATAGCCGTATTGTAAGTTATAATTTATTCATTTTTATGCTAACCACTAAGGTATAAACTTTTCGGACTTAAAATACGTTTTTACAGGTGAAATGGCGAGAAACTGGAAATAGAAAATGGTTATTTTATTTCAGGAAGCCAATCAGGAGAAACGCATTATCGAGGGCACGACGAAAGCGCTGAAAAGCTTGTTCGCCGAAACGTTCTCCGGGTCTGGTGGCAGACCTAACCTGGTGAGTGATGTTGCAGAAGAGCTTCGCGACGAGATTGCATTTCATTTAGTGTGAGCAGGGGGTCTGGGAGATACCATGGAGCCGCCAGATGCTGTTCGATTTCAAACTTCCTATCGGTAATCGAAAGGGGCAAGAAGCCTTATTAATTTTGGTTGAAGGTGAGCATACATGGCCAGACTGTCCCATCTCTTTAACGTAGCATTGTGTCAGGGACTTTTCAAATACATTTTATCCCGTACAGCATAATATTCCACATTTCAATGTCCACACTCCATTGAACGCCCAAACCGATCTGATGTCCAGTTCCCGTCTGGCCTCCGGCAGGACCCGCTCTGGCGCTGCAGCTGCCCCTCCGGCTACATCCCGTGCGGCGGCCGCTGCTACGCCCGTCTCCACCGTCCCGTCGAGTACGCCCAGGCCGAGCGCGAGTGCTCCCTGCTGGGCGCCCACCTGGCCGTGCCGCGCTCCCGTCAGCAGAGTCTCTGCGTGGCCGGCCTGGCAGGCCACGAGGACGTCTGGCTGGGCATCACCGACCGCGACGAGGAGGGGTTCTTCCAGGGCGCCGACGGCCGGCCGGTCACGGACAACGAGGGGCAGGTGTGGTCACCGACTCAGCCGGACAACGCCGGCGGCGTGGAACACTGTGTCTCCAGCTGGAAGGTGAAGGATGGTGTGCGCTTCGGCGAGTGGAACGACTACCCGTGCACCGGTATTCGGCTGTACCCCATGTGTCAGCTGCCCTGAGGTACTTGACATCCGGCCGTACCAAAAGTCTCGCTTGTGTCAGCGGTCAGCTACCTTGGGATGCGCAGTACCTACTATACCTACCTACTCGGTGTTTCAGCTGTTATGAGGTTGTTATATGCAGGGCTGCGGAGTTGATGGATTTGAGGGTGACTCCAACTCCGACTCCGACTCCGGCTTCAAAAATCGACTCCGTCTCCGGCTCCAACTCCGGCAACACTGAAATAAGTTCATAAAATAAAGATATTTGCAGTAAAAGATATAAGGTGCAGATTTGGTCAAATTAGGTGCACTCGCCGGATAGCCCGTCGTGAAAACGGCTAGTATGGTGACTGTTGGTGACGTGTTGGCTAAGGACGCATCAGCCTTGCGACCCGTGCCGTGCATCAAATTTCTCTTCCGTCTTGTTCTTTTTTCGCGCTGCTGACTCGCATGAAGCCAATAGGCATGTACTTTTGTAACTAAGCGGAACTAATCAGGGTGGTCAGGGAAAGATCAATAAACTTATTACTCAGAATGAGCTGGCAAATGAGCTTGTATGTTGGGGAAAGTGGGCTAAGACGGTCAGCGTAGGTAAGACAGGCAAGTTGGTCCCTTCTGCAGACCAAACCAATAGCGCTACGAGCGAGAAAAATTAGGACCAGAGTCGCCATTCCAACCACATACGGGTTTCGGCCACTTAACTTTGGTGGTTCCCTATTTTCAGTTTTTTTTTTAGACCTGTGGTGACCCAGCGGCCCAGCTAGGCTGGTGGTGCCCATGACAGGCCTTCGGTGCCTCTGGTCTGGTCTGGGTAGGGCTGTGGTGACTGGTGCCCCTGCCGGGCCGATGATGCCCCTAACAGGCCTGCGGTGTCCCTGAAAGGGCTGTGGTGCCCCTGCCAGTGCCACCCTGATAAGCCTAAGGTGCCCCTGACAAGCCTAATGAGGTGCTCATGAGCCCTGACAGGCCTGTGGTGCCCCTGACGGGCCTGTGGTGTCCTTGCTAGGCCTGTGCCCTGGCAGGCCTGTGGTACCCCTGGCGGGCCTGTGGCGCCCCTGCTAGGCCGCAGATGCCCCTAACAGGTTTGTGGTGCCCCTGGAAGGACTGTGGTGCCCCTGACAAGCATGAAGTGCCAACGACAGGCCCGTGGTTCCCTTGACAGGCCCATGGTACCCCTACTAGGCCGGTGGTGCCCCTGGCAGGACTGTGGTGCGTCTGTCAGGCCTGTGGTGCCCCTGACAGGCCTGTGGTGTCCCTGGGCCCTGACAAGCCTGAGGTGCCCCTGGCAGGCCCGTAGTGCCCTTGCTAGGTCTGTGGTGCCCCTGACAGGCCTGTGGTGCCCCTGACAAGCCTGAAGTGCCTCTGGCTGACCTGTGGTGCTCTTGCTAGGCCGATGGTGCTCCTGACAGGCTTGTGGTATGCCTGACAAGCCCGTGGTGATCCTGTTCGGGCTTGTGGTGCCCCTGGCGGGCCTGTGATGCCCGTCAGGCCTGCAGGGGCGGATCCAGGAAAACTCCAAGGGGAGGGTCATGAATCGAAGTGGTGCCCCTACCTATACCCAAAATTAAAAACTCAACGGATTTCGTCCACTTCATTTTGGTGGTGCCCCCATTTTCAGTTTTTTTTTATTTTTTATTTTTAGTCAGTATCTTACCTCTTAGCCACAACCACATTTACCAATTGTAAGCAAGTATATATGAATGTGCTATGTGTATATATGTTGTGGACGCTGAGTAATGAGTACTTACCAGGAACGTTATCAGGTAAGCAAATCGTTGTCAGTCCGACGAACTTGACCCTGGCGTCTAAAGGGTCTGTCCTTGACACTTCAGGCTTGTCAGGGGCACCAAAGTCCTTCCAGGGACACCACAAACCTGTCAGGGGCACCTACGGCCTTGTAGGGGCGCCACAGGCCCGCCAGGGGCACCACAGGCCTGCCAGGAAGCAGGGGCACCACAGGTCTAGCAAGTATACACGACAGGCCTGTCAGGGGCACAACGGGCCTGTCAGGGGCACAACGGGCCTGTCAGGGGCACAACGGGCCTGTTGGGCCCATGAGCACCCCTTGGGGCAGGGGCACCACAGTCCTTCCAGGGGCACCGCAGGCCTATGAGGGGCACCAGCGGCCTAGCAGGGGCACCAGTCAACACAGGCCTGCCAGGGGCACCACAGACCTGCCAGGGGCACCAGAGGCCTGCCAGGAGCACCACCGACCTCGCAGGGGTAACTTGGGCCTGTCAGGGCCCAGGGGCACCACGGGCCTGTCGAGAGGCACTTCAGGCTTTTCAGGGGCACCATAGTCCTCTCAGGGCGCAGGGGTAGCAGGGGCACCAGAGACCTGCCAGGGGCACTACAGGCCTAGCAAGGGCACCACTGGTCTATCAGGGGCACCACGAGCCTGTCATAGCCAGGCATCTCAGGCTTGTCAAGGCCCAGCGGCACCACTGGTCTGTGAGGGGCACCAGCGACCTAGCAGGGGCACCAGTCAACACAGGTCTGCCAGGGGCGCCACAGACCTGCCAGGGGCACCACAGACCTGCCAGGGGCACCAGAGGCCTGCCAGGGGCACCACCGGCCTCGCAGGGGCACCTTGGGCCTGTCAGGGGCACGACGGGCCTGCCGAGGGGCACTTCAGACTTTTCAGGGGCACCAGTCCTCTCCGGGCGCAGGGGCACCAGAGGCCTGCCAGGGGCACCAGCGGCCTAGCAAGGGCACCAGAGGCCTGCCAGGGGCACCAGCGGCCTAGCAAGGGCACCAGAGGCCTGCCAGGGGCACCACAGGCCTAACAAGGGCACCACGGGCCTGTCAGGGGCACCTCAGGCTTGTCAGGGCCCAGGGACACCACAGTCCTTCCAAGGGCACCGCAAGCCTGTCAGGGGCACCAGAGGCCTGCCAGGGGCACCACAGGCCTAGCAAGGGCACCTCTGGCCTGTCAGGGGCACCTCAGGCTTGTCAGGGCCCAGGGGCACCACAGTCCTTCCAGGGGCATTACAAGCCTGTCAGGGGCACCAGAGGCCTAGCAAGGGCACCACAGGCCTGCCATGGACACCACAGGCCTGCCAGGGGCACCACCGGCCTTGCAGGGGCGCCTCAGGCCTGTCAGGGGCACCACGTGCCTGCCGGGGACACTTCAGGCTTGTCAGGGGCGTTACAGTCCTGTCAGGGCCCAGGGGCACCAGGCCCGTGGTGTCCCTGCTAGGCCTGTGGTGCCCCTGGCGGTCCTGTGGTGCCCCTGTCAGGACTGTGATACCCCTGATAGGCCGGTGGTGCCCCTGGAAGGTCTTTGGGCCCCCGGGCCTCAAGGGGGGGGGGGGGCCATGACCCATGTGACCCCCCCCCCTTGGATCCGCCCCTGCAGGCCTGTGGTATCACTGATAGGCCGATCGCCGCGGTGGTGCCCTTGGCAGGCCGGTGGTGCCCCCGGGCTCCAGGGGGGGGGGGGGGGTCATGACTCATGTGACCCCCCTTGGATCCACCATTGCTTATGGTGTAAAGTACGCTTATGGTGTCCGGCCATTACTGCACTCTTCTGCATTGCATGATAAGCAATAAGCATTTGATTTATGAATTTTTCCAAGGCGGGCAGGTCCAGGCGAGGCAAAGTGTACAGAAATTCCGTACTTCTCAAAGTGCCTCTACTACTATGACGTCAAGGGGCACCTTAGCTCTGGTTCTGTTTCATGCGATGTTGACTGTAAATATCCTTAGTGAAGGAAAACGGTGTTTTTCTTTGAGCAAAAGGCCTTTACTGAATTGCTACCAAATGACAACGCGCCGCCGGCCGCGCCGCTGTTCTCTCTTCCACACACATCTTTGGCTTAGTCGTCTTGTCTTTTTACAGAGTTTTGAGCTATTTTGTGATATTTTCCAGCATAGAATTGTTCAACATTGCCTAAAGGTAAGATTTTTGAGCTTTTGCGTTAGGATGACTATGGTGTATGTTTTATATTGAAATACTGCAGAGTGCAGAGTGCAGGGGGCATTCTTGTTCTCTCCCACAGTGTGTATAAATATTCTCTCCAAAATGAAAAAGTTCAAGTTTTGCAATTTCAAAAAAGTCATCAGGTTCTGCTTGCTTATCCCTGCTGAGCACTTCTTAATCAAATGTCAATGTAGTGTTCTTTCTTTGTGACAAAAATGAAATTCAATTTTTTGGGTGCCGCATAATGGGCAAATGCCTCAAATGTCCCCTTTGGTTGTGTTGTGATGCCAGTGTTATTTTTATGGATATAGATTGAAAGTTTTTTACCTGCCACTTTTATTGCCAGATATTCAATGTGCTTACTGCATAGGGTGTTTTGTTGGGGTCAGTCAGTATGGTTTGCTTGTTTTGTGTGAAAGTGCTTTTGACCCAGGTATTGGTATGCCAATTCAGCTGCCTTTTGAGCTGCCTTTTCATAATATGACATGTAATTAACTATTGATAAATGATATCACATGAAAGACCTTAGAATTCAGAAATATTAACAAGTTTGTCCTATCACTTTTTTGCCTCATGGCTTTGACACTTTTCCAGAAGTGTTCAAGAAATGTGTATTGTATTGACTGGTTCGTTTTTGTGATCTACATATATGTGTGCATTTATGATCTACAAACTGATTTCTTCAAGTTTTTTTTGTCAACTGAAACTAACTGGTGCACCTGCTTTCTAGAACTCATCCCAAAATCACTTCTCTTGACACTTCCAGTGTCCATAGCACAACCTGACCTCACACTAACATTAAAGATTAGCATCCTCAGTCCTCACACATATTCAAAATGCTAATGGCATTCTCCACTGCATCAAAAAGGAGCAGTGGAGGGGTGTTGCAGATAAATTGGGACTAAGTTCATGACCTTACAAAAAATTTGGTATGCGGAGGAACATCATGGAAATTTGACACAATATAATTTCAACAATTGTTTTTCATTTGATATTGAAATTTTAATCCTAACATATCGCGCAGTCATGGAGCAGCGTCGGAGGGAAACGATTGGTGAGTTAGCTCGCGCCGGACAGAGCGCGAAGGACATAATAAGTTTAACTGGGTACCCAAAGTCTACCGTGTACCGAACTATCGCGACTGTAGGAGCTGGAGGGGATGTCGCTCGACGTTCTCACACACCTCGCAGTGACCGAAAACGGACACCAACATTCCTGAGTGGCTTGAAACGCTCGATACAGGCCAAAACGAGGACCTCGATGAACAAGCTTGCGCGTGCCCGTCACGTGAGCAAGAGCACCATCAGCAGAGCCGTGAGAGAGGACCTCGGGATGAAGTCGTTTACCAGAAAACGACGAAGCCTCCTGACCGAACCAGCAAGAGCGATACGAAGGGAGAAGGCACCGAAGGTCCTCAATCTCCTCAAGCACCTCGGGAGTGACGTCAGAGTATTTGTCGATGAGAAAAAGTTCATCGTAGAAGAGGTCGCCAACCGCAGGAACTCGCGGGCTATCGCCTGCAGCCCTGATGAAGTGTCTCCCGTGATGAAAGGCAAAAATCCGGCATCAGTAATGGTGTTCGGGGCCGTCGCAAGTGATGGCCGCATAATGCCGCCCCATTTCATGCCTGCTGGTGTGATGATCGACACTGACGCGTATTTGACCATCCTGAAGGAGTCTCTCATCCCCTGGATGATGAAATACTATGACTTGAGCAAAGTCATGCTGGTGCAAGACTCCGCCCCAGCACATGCTTCCCAGAGGGTGCAAGATTTCCTGAGCCAGAGGATCCCCCTATATGTACCCAAGGACATATGGCCCTCCAACTCGCCTGACTTGAATCCATGCGACTTTTGGATGTGGGGCGTGGTAGAACAAAAGTCCAACTCGACCACACCTGCCAACGTTTCTGACCTGAAGAAGGCCATCAGGAAGGCAGTCAGCACCATTGACCAGGACGAGGCCCGGCGCGCGTGCTCCGCTTTCCGGCGCCGTCTCGAGAGGGTGCGGGACGCCGACGGCGGTCACATCGAGTGACAAGGCTGTGCGTACACGACACAATACACGTGCGAAGTTTCAACTTTCTGTGTTTTCATTCACCGTATTAATAGCATGTTGAAATTAGGTCTGAAAATTCCCAATTTACCTGCAACACCCTGTCAGTGTATTGTGACAGTGTATTACCTTGTCAGTGTATTGTGACAAGGTAAAATATAATGACATCAGCTGGCGGGCCATGGTTTTTGTGATATCAAAAAACTTTCAAAAGTTTGACAATTGTCTTAAATTGCTTGGACCAGTACTGGACCACCAGGGCAAAAGGATTCTCTGCAAAAAATCTAGATTACCAAACATGATGTGCAATGGATTGTGGAACTCAAATTAACTTTCTACTGCACTCACTGCAGTCCACTCCTACTAAACTCAAACTTTAACTTTGGGCACATGGAGGTGTAGGTGGGGTTGTAGCTGACAGGGATGCATTTTAACCCTCGCATGTGTAGGGGGGTCGGATGGACCCCCATGGTTTTTCGCGAATAACTCGCGTAAAAACTATTTTATTATAATATTTCATCAGTTCAGTGGCCGGCCACTGAATAGTGAATACATTGCCACTCCTCATTACTCAAAACAAGGGCTGATGTAAAAGCTTAGTATCACAAGACCTTGTCATTTCTCAAGTACCTACCTTTGCTTTAAAACTTTTTAAAGAACACTGGCAGCATGAAATGTGATATTGGCAGGTGACGTCATATCGTCGGATATTGACGTAACCGTTGTTGGCAGGTGACGTCATGTCGTCGGAGGGTGACGTCATCCTGGTGACAGGAGGCACGGGCCTGGTGGGCCAGGCGATCAAGACCGTGGTCGAGGGCGGTCTAAAGAGGCCCGGTGAGACTTGGGTCTACCTCAGCTCGAAGGATGCTGACCTGACGTGAGTGGGCTGAAGGTGCTGAGGACGGCTGAGGACCCCCAGGTAGAGCGCCCTAAAACCCAGATCATAACGTCGGAGCCCATAGTCTGATTATCGATCGCCGTCATCGCCAAAATCGAGTGGCGTGCGGGCTGTATGGGTGCTTTGTGTTTCTGGTAATTATCTAGCGAAAGAGGAAATATGTTATAATGAATGTTCTGTTTGTACTTTCTGTCTGCTTGTCTGTCTCCTGCCAAAAACCTGGCGAGTGGCGAACTCTGGGGGCCACCTATTCGTCAGTCTCTTTATAGTTGAGTGTCGGTCACCTGTTAGCCGTTGGCTCCCTGTCGTTTCCCCAGTCACCCAGTAGCCACCGAGGGCAGCTGTCTGTTACTTCGAACTAGTGATGTCAATTTCAGAAAACATATGTCCAATGTCCGTCCAATGTCCAATACTTACGTCGACTGTCCGTCCAAAAATGTCCAAGCCAGCCATTTGTCCAAAGATGTCCGACATCTACGCAATAGTTTACACTCAACACCGTTATTCAATTTGGTTTTAATGTATCGTTACCAGCTCAAAAGTGGTATTCATATCGAAAGCTGAGCTTTCTAATAGCCAATCAATGTTAAACACGATTACTTTATGAAAATGTTGAGGTGTAGCAAGCGATTGTCCAAAGTTGTCCAAAGCCTGCTGTCATTGTCCAACCGAATTCCGAATTGGACATTGGACAAAATCGGAATTCCGAAGATTCAAGTTCCGATTGACACCACTACTTCGAACCCGGCTGCACATCTCTGCATCTCTGTCCCACCTGACCAACTGACCGTGTCCCTCCCCTTGTCTCCATCCCTAGTGACCCGGCGGCCACACGTGCCGTGTTTGAGCGCCACCGACCGACGCACGTCATCCACCTGGCGGCCATGGTTGGAGGCCTGTTCCGAAACCTCCGCTACAACTGTGACTTCCTGGTTAGTGACTCAGGCGGGTGACGCGGCTGGAGGGGGTGACACAGACCCAGTGCAGTGTCGTGTCAAGTGTCTGTCCTTTGCCAACATTGTATAAAGTATATTTGCACAAGGGTTGCTCAGAGCTAAAATCTCTTACACCTAGATTGTTAGCATTTCTTACAGTATATTTTCTATACACCGTGTGCCCACTGTCACTATTTCCAAACTGCTCACTTATACTCATTTATACCCTTGAAGCTAATGGGCGCAAAATGACCTCGCAGTCGGCGCGCCCCTAAACCCCAACAAACAAACAACAACAACCCTTGAAGCTAAATCTTACCTCCCCTCTGACAGTGAACAGTCGGAAATCGCAATTTGCAAACCGAGCGAACTCGTCAAAGTTTATGGTTCTCCCCGAATGCTAGCTGATCACTTTACGCTTCATCCACAGCGCAAGAACATCTTGATCAACGACAACGTGCTGGAGACGGCTCACCAGCTGAACGTGCAGAAGGTCGTGTCGTGCCTCTCCACCTGTATCTTCCCCGACAAGACCAGCTACCCGATCGACGAGACCATGGTGAGCACCGCGTGGTCCCGGGACCACGGCTAGGCGGTCCGGGGACTATTGTGAGGACCGGGTGGTCCAGAGACCACGGTTAGGCGGTCCAGAGAGCATGGTTAGGCGGTCCAGAGACCACGGCTAGGTGGTCCGGGGACCATTGCTAGGTGGTCGGGGGACCATGGTTGGGTGGTCCTGGGACCACGGCTAGGCGGTCCGGGGACCATGGTTAGGTGGTCCAGAGACCATGGTTAGGCGGTCCGTCGCCCGAGGACCCTGTCGGCCACAGTCTGAGGCCGTGCGGCGTATGACGAAGGGTGGATCATTGAAGGCTTTTGGTATAGACGCTGAGGGTGACACCTACTGGCCGGGTGTCGCAACTCGCAACTATGGCTACAGAGTTGCGTTCTACTGTGGTGATGGAACAGATGGAACCCACACTGAGCAAACTGCCCATTTTGTCCTCCTAAAATTAAGTCTGCAGGTGTACCGGCTGAATAGTAGTGCTCGTTCTATCAATCACTAGCACTCGACCAGCTGCCTATAACCGTCTTTGTCAGTAACCCCACCACACTTCAGCAGCTCCCTGATCCTGCGTCTCCCCCCACAGGTTCACAACGGTCCGCCGCACCCGTCCAACTTCGGCTACAGCTACGCCAAGCGTCTGGTGGACGTGCAGAACCGCGCCTACCACCAGCAGCACGGCCGCTGTTTCACGTCCGTCATACCGACCAACGTGTTCGGGCCGCACGACAACTTCAACGTGGAGGACGGCCACGTCCTGCCCGGCCTCATTCACAAGGTGGGGGCGCCAGGGGAGATGATTCGCAACTCACAAAGTCTCGGTTCCTCCTGATACATGAGGCTGGGCGGGGGAGAGGGTGACGTTATCGCCCTAGGGAGAGGTATTTAGTGTTAGTGTGCCCTAGGGCGATGTATGGGTATTTGGTGTTTGCAGAACATTTTCTGTAAATGGGGCCAAAATGCCGATGCATCACTTCATGTGAGATTACATGGGTCGTCTGTTTGTAGGTTGTGCTGATATGAATCGATGCTGGGACTGACCTGCTGAGTGACATGTTTATCTGAGTTCTTGATCGCCGCCCTAGTGTGGGATAACACTGTGCCCGTAATGTATGACTGTCTTGCTGAGTCAGTGGCCACTGGCCAGTGTATTTTAACCGATAATTGCGACACTGCGTGACCTTCTGCCAATTCGGAACATTGTTTATCTCAGACGTACATAGAGAGACATACGTCTCAGTCTAGCTACACCAGCCTCTCTGTGTCCCCTGCCCTCCCCTGCTCTCCCCTCCATCCCCTCACCTCTCTAACCTCCCCGCCCCTCCCATTGCAGGCATACCTGGCCAAGCAGTCGGACAGCCCGTTCGTGGTGTGGGGCACGGGTAAGCCGCTGCGTCAGTTCATCTACTCACTGGACCTGGCGCGACTCATGGTCTGGGCGCTGAGAGAGTACACCGAGGTGGACCCCATCATCCTGTCAGGTGAGAGCGGGGGAGGGAGGGAGAGGGAGGAGGCACGGCCAGAGACTGGGGAGACGTGGGTGGATGGCTGAATAAACGGGCAGGGATGCAAAAAAAGCAAGGGGGACACCGGACAAAGGATGTTGAGACGGATGCTCGTACGCTTAGCTGAAGCGAATTTGATTGTCTTACAGGGTGAGCAGCTGTGATATTCATATTGATTCGACTAGTTTTCTTGATGCTGAAAATATCGCATTACTTTTTCAATCTGCTAACTACATAGTTCAGTGATGGCTGCTGCCGGTAACTGCATACCATCACGGACCACTGTGCGTTCCTCCTATCGGTTGTCGTGACTGAGAGTTCGTTCCGTTGTAACCAGATGTCACTGGCGTTCCGGTCACTTTCCGACCTGACGCTTCCCACGCTAACTCGTCTTCTCCGACCACCAGTGGACGAGTCGGCGGAGGTGTCCATCAAGGACGTGTCTCAGCAGGTACTGGACGCCATCGGCTTCCAGGGGCCCGTCGTACACGACGAGACGCGCGCCGATGGACAGTTTAAGAAGACGGCCAGCAACGCCAAACTGAGGAGGTCCGTGGGGTGGGATGTGGAGGGGGTCAAATGGTCGACGGGGAGGGATGACTTGCGCTTGGAGGCTGGGCTGGTCAAATAACGAGATGTCGTTCAACCTGGTTGGCCAGTGATGTGTGGCTTGTTATTGTCTCACAATTAGCTTTGAGGCAGTTTGTTCACGATTGAGATTGCGTATATATCTGCCGTTTTATCTGTTATACCTCCACTTGCATCCGCCAGTTTCGAATCGAATAAGTGGACTGTGGAACTGCTGGAACGGCATTTCCTACCTAGGTGTGGCAAGCATAAGGAGCGTACACCACTCGTATACCTCGCTGTATATCTACCTATATTTTGTTAATTTTGACTCGTATTTGCCATTTTCATTATCTCATGAAATTTAATTTGGCGGTCTCGCTCACTTGAAGTCAATACGAGTACATTGTTAAGTGTCATGTTCCTGACCTAACCTGTCCCCGGCAGGTACCTGCCCGACTTCCAGTTCACTCCGCTGAGCCAGGCCGTCAAAGAGTCGGTCGACTGGTTCGTCACAAACTACGAAACCGCCCGCAAATAGAACTGAGAGCGATCGACGCATGGCTGAGCACTTCCTCTATGAGGGAACGACTGGCTCAGTGGGGGACGGTAAACCATGGCGAGCTGCACGCCAGAGAAGGACTGTCGAGAGGTCGAGTGATCTATGGGGAGCTGCAGACTCCAAGCGACAGACAGATCCATGGAGAGCGCCAGACTCCGGGTAAGGACTATCAGAGTGGGTATAGTGCCTATGGGCAAACACCAGACTGTGTGAAGGGTGTCTGTGAGGGAGCTGCGATTTTATGGGAAGCGTCAATCTGTGTGAGAGTGTTGGTCTTTGTTGGTGGAGGGAGGGAACACACAGTGGTTGTTGATTTTTTGGACAAGGCTCGGTTCCTGTGATGGAGACTGTCTCTGTGTTGTGAGGGAGGGCGCTGTAGGGTCTCTCTGAGGGTGTGGGACCGCGCCCCGGTCACACGGGTCTCTCACTGCCGACCAGGGAGGCAGGCAGCCGGCGGGACGTGATGTCTCTGTGCTCCGTACAGCAGACTGGTCGGCGTATAACCGTTACTGTTGCAAAACAACTGACTATTATGGTAACACACCGTGTGTTGTGTGACGTGGCCAGTCAAACCGTCCTTGCAGTGTCTGCGATTGCTCATTGCGCTGTTGGTTTGTTGATAGCATTTGCGTAGCTAATAAGGCCAGCGGCAAACTTCATGTCATCGTAACCTTTTTTTGTTGCAGTGTCTTGTGATCTTTTTTTTTTTTGTCGACGTGAAATATATCATTTATACATGACTTAACTTGTGATATTTCCAGGAAGTTTGGCTTCATGCTTACAGGAACCAGATGTCTCGATGTCTGGAAAGTGTTCACGACACAAGGAAGGCGATCGCGGTTCGGCTGGTGCTGGAGTGTGTTTGCGTTTTGCCTCGGCCGGAGCGATCGGTTTTCTGCATAGGGCTCGGCTGAGGTGGTGGGGGGGGGGGGGAGGGGCGCATACAGCCTCCTCGCCGTTTCGCCAATGATCGGGCGGAACAAGCGTATGCTCCGTCATGAGTCGCAGCGACTGGTACCCGACCAACCCGTCTGACCAATGAGGCCCGATCAAGAACCTTGTGATGGGTCCAGTTTTTTTGTAAAAATTAATCCGCCAAATATGATCATTGATCACATCTACGATTTGAGTATCAACGCAAGTGAAGGTCGAGCTTTAATTTAGCTTTAATACCCCCCCCCCCCCCCATACACACACACATGTACTCGGCCGGGGAGAAGGCGTTAAACAATGCTGATTAACCCATTAGATACGCTTGGCAGCTTTTGCTGCCACAGGACAAAATAGCGCCGCATTCCTAAACGTTGCGGTGAACTTTCAAAGTTCTCACCCGAACGGAAGACCAAAACAATGCACGACATGTGCGCTCCGAATTATTGATCGAGAAAGCGAATGGGCTGAGAAATAAACAATTTATCGCGGGGGTGCAAGGGGCGCGCGATGGCGGCCGTGCGGCGGACACCAAAGAAGTCAGTTGCGAAGGTGGTGTGAATAAATGTTACCTTTTTATTATTGATTATTGTAAAGAAATGTGTGATTATCAATGGGAAGAGCTTAGGTGCGACATAAATTTCTCTAAGTACCTCCAATCGTGCGTTATATTTAAGTGGCAGCAAAAGCTGCCAACCGTATCTTACGTAGTCAAAAATGGAGCAGTTACGTTCTTTTTGCTATGCCATTCGTAAGTGAGCAACAATGTCTGGCTTTATGGCTCATAGTGTAATGCCCCAGTTCTTTGCCTTTCCAAAAATGGTCATTACCGGGGTTTCTGCTATTTATTCTTGTCTGCAGAGCATTGCATACCGACACACTACCATGCGTGTAATGTATTCCGCCATTGCTGAAGCAGGGACATTGAACGGAGTGGTGCGGACAAACTGTCATCAGAGGCGCCATCCCTCAAGGGGCGCGCCGTCGCCTAAGGGAAGGTGGTGCCGTGGCTCTATAGATGAACGGGAAGAGGGGCGCCTCCTAGGCCTGTTGGGGCGCCTTTGAGGCCTAACTATGTATGGGGTCGCCCCCGCCCCCCGCCCCGCTCCCGCCCCCCCGCCCCGCTCCCGCCCCCCATGCAAAAGAGGGGCGCCTACGAAGGTCCTGGCCATAATGGCGCATCTGCACGAAAGAGGGGCGCCTGCATGCCGAAGAGGGGCGCCTATGAAGCCCAATGGGGCGCCTCTACGAGAAAGAGGGACACCTGTAAGGTCTATAGGGGTGCATGTAATGTCCATAGGGCACCTTTATGCGAAAAAGGGGCGCATGGCATATGAAAAAGAGGCGCATTGCACAAGAAAGAGGGGCGCCTCTGAGACCTATAGGGGCGCCTCTGATGACCAAATGGGCGCTTACACGGGAAAGAGGGGTGCCTATAAAGCTTAAAGGGACGTCCTCCATGTGAAAAAGGGGCGCCTGGGACTTGAGCGCCCTTCCGAGCTGTCCGAGGTCGCCGGAAAGTTCGTATATGTCCAGCTCCTGCTGCACTATCCTCCAAAATAATTCGATTGGATTTAGGCCAGGACTGTTCCCTAGCCAAGTGTCCTTCCCCCAGATATCGGACAGATGGTCCTGACACCGCCTAGTTCCGGAAGATCGATGAGATGGAGTACCGTCCAGCATGAAAATGCTGTCCGACCTGCGGGACACCAGGCGCCGTTGGAGCACGGGGTAGTGGTCTTTTAATGCCAAATGCACGCTTTTTCAGTATGTTTTCTAGGTAGTAGTCGGGATCGACTTCGTCTTTTGCTAGATCACGTCCAGCTGGTTCAGCTCAGGCCCTGCTAGGACATCGTGATCGTTCGACATACCATTGCGGCGAAAATTTTTCGCAGAAGTCTGTCGGAACTTGGGCCGCGTTTTCAGCCCATGCTCGTTTTGGGGGTCCGTGTGGTGAAACCATTGAAACGGAGACTCGTCGCCGAACTAGACCCGCTTCTACATACCTACTCCGTTTCCACTCTTCTACCGGCCAGATTCTCCGTTTCGTGCAAATCTGAGGGCTCTGGGCTTGCTGATTTTCGTTATTTTGGCCGCACCAATAGTCAAGCGCCTTCAGTCAAAGGGCGTTCCTTCCTTATCAATGGACAACATTATCCGAGTGATCATTATGAATAAGACTTCAGATTCTCCGCAGAATGGTCAGACTTCCCAGGGGCTTTCTTCATGACGATCTTGGCGACGGTTGAGACGCAGGAGGACCATGCTGATTGGGGCTTATGCGTGACGCTACTTGTCCCTAAATTTCTTCCACCAGCGCTTGTTGGTGAAAACGGGGGCTTAGAAGTGTGAGGCAGCGTCCTTCCATGTGTTGCCACTTGCCAGCTTGGAGCATGCCAACAGCGCAACTACGAACCTCTCAACTGTAAAGCTAAACCTTCATGCTTAGGCGTTCAGTAAATGCGCCGTTCAATGGTTAACCCGGCGGCCGCTGGGCCTCCGCGCCACCCGCCGGCCGCTGGGGGGGGGGGGCATAAAGTTGCCCCCCCTTTACTTCTGCGACGATATCGTCGCAACGCGAAGAGATAGAAAAGCGAAACTTTGCACACATCTTCCTGAATACCTAGCCGAGGTTGTGTCCAAATTTGGTGTCAATCCCATTTGAAATGACGTCACAGTGACGTCATAAGTGAAATTATAGATTTGCGACTCTCATATTCCTCACGATACATCACATATATGGGACCGAATATAAAGGGCCGATTATTGGTCAGAAACTAGATGGAAGTGTAGTAAGATGTTTTAGGATGACAGCAGGTGCTGTCTAGTTCATTTACAGTCGAGTTTCATGCTCAGCGTCATCAGAAACGGTCCATATCGGAAAACGACAAAACTTTATGACGTCACTGTGACGTCATCTTAGGTGCTACAACCACCAAACTTTCCTCAAACATTGCCTAGGTATTCATTTGAAGCTATGCCAAGTTTCACGTTCGTAGCTCATCAGGTTTCGGAGATATTTCACAAAACGTAAAGGGGGGGCAACTTTATGCCCCCCCCCCCAGCGGCTCGTGGGTTAAACAATTACCCATGCCAGTGAACCCCATTGGTAAAGGTCAGCTTTTCAGATAATCTCCGCTTCAGAGAAAGACTCAGGGACACAATTCGTTGAAAGGAACGCGATATTTAGGAGCACATTGGAAACACGCCAAGTTGCATAAACGGTCGACGGAAGTCATCAAAACCTTCGTCGCATCCTATATAAGATTTTGTGGGGAGGGGAAGCGCGTGTGAGCTGAAATAATGAGAGAAAGAACATGATCTCTCAGAACGAGCTGAACTGTTAGCTGAGGTCTGGATTTTGAGTTCATTTTTCTTGAGAATTATTGGCTACGGTCGTTATTTGCAGGCTACGGTCGAATGGAAATCCGAACAATTGCACATATTCAAGATCATATCTGGTACGTAAATAAAATAGTTCGTGAAAACTGTACATGCACCAACAGGAGACACTCTGTGGCAAAGGTTGTTGGTATCGAAAGATCATTTCCTCGCGGTTTTGATATGTTTGTGCTTTGAAATATGACAAACCACTCCATTTTTGACTATGTAAGATACGCTTGGCAGCAAAAGCTGCCAGACCGGAAACGTACACTGCCGGTTTCGTGATCTGGCTAAAAATGCACATGTATTCCCCTAAAGGGTGCCTGACAAATATATGTTAAAATCACAGTGAAAGTCGACAAAAAAAGTTTTCGGCTCTAATGGGTTAAAAAGCAGATATCTTTCGAATGTCAGCTGTTTATAAGCTATTGTGCTGGACACTGGAATGTCTTCAGCTACGTTATGACTGAGTCATTACCAGGCGACTCAGCCAAAGTAAAAGGGCCTTATGAATTTATGCGTACCTTTATAGAAGGGGCAGATGATTAACGAAACAGAAGTTTGGAAATGATGAAAATGAAATAGTTTTGACTCAGCTCGATTTTAATAGTTTTACAGTTACAGGTTTACAGCTACAGAACATTTTTGCAAATATTATTGCCTGTTCAATTTGTATGTTTTCTTTACACGATTGATCCTAAGCACAAAGCCAATCGAGCGAAAAATCTTCAATGCGGAGACTCGTATGGTTTATACTGATCGTGCCATTGTTACGCATTTATAGATCTTCGATATCATGGGAAGTGAACAGGGAAGTTACGCTGATTGCACTGATTAACGCACTATTTTACTCTGTCGACAGGTGAACAGGTTTTTATAAAGGTAATAATTCAAGAAGGTAATTAAAGGGTTTATAAACATCTGGTTTGACAGTTATCCTTACCTGTTACATAACTGAGCGTGTTCTAAGATTTATATTTACAATCTTAAATTCATAAGATTACCTAATTCAAAGTTTTGCGAGAAAAGATAGGTACGTGAAATCAAACGACATCTCTCCGCATGCGTTGCACATTAAAATAGTCGTTCTTTGTCTGGTCTTCATCATACTGTCAGCTCGCGTAAGTACCTATTTTGACATTGTTTTGCTGTAGGAGGTTTACTATATGAGAATCTATTTTTGTTATTAGGTACCTATTTTACATTAATTACTTCATATTAGGTATCATTTTCTCTTATGTCTCCCTTATTTTGTAAATCATATTTTTTCAATACCCACTTTACTATTTAAGATTTAGACAATTTGTATTGTAATAATATCTGTATCTATCATTGGAGGAATGCTGATATTATTGTAAGCCTTATCCAAAATGGAGTCAATTCATTTATTCATTCATTCTTTCATTCATTCATTCAGTCATTCATTCATTCAGTCACTCATTCATTCAAGCATATTTTTCACTGTGCATGCATGTGTGTCCCATCACCATAAGCGAGTACCTATATTTATTATTTAACCTAGCCTGCATGCATCGTTTTGTTGGGAAACAGGAGATAATAAAAAGTGCAGGAACTACATAGCCAAAGAAGAGCGAAGCAAATGAAGAAGCCAAATATGATCCTCAGCATACGACTTTTCCTCTATGTATTCCTTTCTCTTGCCATCGTCTCCGAGTGCGTTCAAGGTAAAACTTATTTTCACCACCTTAACGATATAGCCTCCTTTTATCGATAGGTACTGATAAACGGCTCGATGGGTTTGTTTTATTGTCATTGCCGGAATTAAAGTCGCTTAAACTAGGCGAACTACTGTATGTAGGTACTGACCATTGAGCACTGCATTTGGTATCGATAAAATTAATCCGCGCGTGACGGGTACCTATATTCATAGCGCGAGTGACTGAGGGGGAATCCGCTCCACTACAGAGCCCCGCATGCCTCCGAAGACCTACTGGTCTGAATTTAAAAATTCACACGGCATTTGGTAGCCCGGGAAAACTGTTGATCGAAGCCTAAATTTGTTGACCTCGAGTTCACTGATGATGCCAAAGCTCAGGTCAAAGTGAAAGTCATCAACATTTTGGCATATTCAGAATTCCGGCTCTGGCCGCCGCTGAACAAGTTACAATGAACAAAGTTTTGTTAGCCTACTGATAAACGCATGAAGAAGTACCTGGGTAGGTATAGTCGACTACAGAATGATGTTCCACTCCTCAAAAGCTATCAGTTGACCGGAGCGCTAAGCTGTGTTGTTTATCACGCAATTAAAGGGACCCTCCCACCTTCAAAAAAGTTAATGAATTGGCACGAAAGTGATGTCGCTCGGTTCAGAAAGAGCGAAAACGAATATCTACCAAATTTCATCGAAAAATATTCACCGGTTTTCAAGATATTAGACTTTTACTTTTGTTTACTTTTTGGGATCTCCGCTGTTCCTAGCGACTTTATTTGAAAGTGCGGCATTTGTTGCGCGCAAAGCAGCATATACCACCGCGTGCTACCAAACGTTTTAGTAAAAGATTTAAAAATCGTTAGATCTCCGCTGACGTCACAAATTCTAAGGGGGCATACCAATGCACTAGCCCCTTAGAATCCGAAAACTGCAAGTTTGAAATTTCATATCTCCGAATTAAAGCATTTGTCGATGTTGTGAGTGCCCAAACCGGTATTTGCAGGCCATGGCCACCAATTTGGCTATCTCAACTCAAAACTAATGTTAAGGCGGGAGTGTCCCTTTAAGCGTATTGTGAGTAGAGATTGCAATCCCGGGATCGGGATCCCGGGATCTCGGCGGGATTTTAATCCCGATCCCGATCCCGAAATTCCGCCAATCCCGGGATCCCGAAAAAAAAACAGTTTTTCACCATAAACAGAATGCAGCCGCTGCACGAGTCTTGTTTGCACTCTGCATGGTGCTGCGTGACATAAAGCAGATAAACTATTTAGCTGGCACCCCGTATTGGTCGTCCACAATCGACCGTGTTGTAGCTCCCGGGTATCACCCACAGCGGTTAAGCCGCTTAAATACGTACGAAAAAGGATCCCGAACGCCAAAAAAAATGCAGTATCAGCGCTGCAACATCTTTAGGCAGGATCACAGATCGTTCAGCGATTCTGACTTGCCTGTCCGTGGCCGGAACAAAAGAGGTCATCAAGACAAGTCTTTGAGCTCGTGTCGCAGAAAAATGTCACAGATGTCACGCAAGTGACGGCAGAGCTCACTGATTCAGACGTTGAAGACAGTAGAGTGGACTTGGAGCTCTCCCAGTCAGTGACTCTGCTCTCAAAGCGACTTTCGAGCAAATTCTGAGAGACATTAGTGATGAAAGCGGAACCGGAAGGAGGTGAAGTGACCAAGCGACGTCTTGAAAACACTGTGAAATAGGGAGCTGCCAAATTTAGCGTACACTGGTTGCGAGTTTTTAAGTAGGCAGACAGACCAGCAATGGCTTAAAACTGTCGCGCTAACTACGAGTAGCGCAGACGAAGAGTGAGTGAGGCGTGGATGTGCTGGAACCCGTCTAGTAAACGTACTGGTCGACGCACAGTTTTATAAAGGCCAATTGGGAATAAATACTTATGCTAATCAAATCGAAACGTTTTCTTTGCAAATTCAATCGTTTTTAATTCAAATGACATGGTCTAAGGATGGCTTTTGGTTGCCTCTTTTTTGTGGTAAGCTAAAAGACGCAAAATATGTCCGTAGGAAATCACTCTTACGACATTTAGTGACAAGACCGGGATCCCGGGATCCCGGGATCCCGAAATAAAAACTTTCGGGATCCCGGGATTGGCAAAACGTTCCGGGATTGCAATCTCTAATTGTGAGCATTGGGACAAAGCTATAATTTGTGAACTCAGCCCGTGTGATGCGGCATAGCCTACCACTCCAGGCAAATAATTGCCTGTGAAAAGTGGAACATCATTCTGTAGTCGACTATTCATACCGGGTCTATTTGAAGGCATAGAGAGGGAGAGGGGCTCTGTAGAGCCCCCGTTCCCCCTAAAGTCACTCGCACTGTGTGTATATGTAAACCTACGGACTTATGAAATGCACTGAAATTGTTGCCCAAAAATATATACCTCCTACAGGAATTAACCCAGTGATTGTTTTCAGAAACTGGCAATTTTCACAGCAAAGACGACGATGCTTCCAAGAACAATTCACAACCAATAGTGGACACTATTTGGTCGTACGAAAACGACACGGGTACGGTCACAAACTACTCGTATATGGCCTGTTTAGCCAAGCAACAACAGACATTGGGAACGTGATACTTAAGTCATTTGTTTTGACTTTTGCAATTCTTTCATAACGGAGCATAAATGATGTAGTGGGTCGTTTACAATAACATACTTTACATAACACGGTCTGTGTCTGAATGCATTGTAATGTGCTTATATTCCGCGTGATATTATTTGTAAACCTGGCCGCGTGTGATGTGCCGTTTCAGGTCCCCAGTTCTGGGGATCGCTGGGCTTTCCGAGCTGTGACGGTGATCTGCAGTCACCAATTAATATCGACACAGAAGAGATACCAAAGTACGAATACAACGACCTGTTCAACTTCAAACACTACGACGACGTGGCGTCGAGGATCACTGTTACAAACAATGGGCATACGCGTAAGTATTGCTTTAAAAGGAAATAGTGCACCTTAAATTGTATCCATCAATAAAAGTGAAAACACACATTATAAAACATTGGTTAAACTGATATTCATGCACTTTGACCCACAAAGATAAAAGCGATTTATAGGTACCACGCATTTATCGCACTAAAATTAACTTTTCTTATGACCGTCCTCCCGTCGTCGCTGTGCGTCTCTGGCGGGGCAGTCATGGCCACTTTCGACTACCAGCCGTCCAAGAATCGACCCTCCATCTCGGGCGGACAGCTCGGCGGCACGTTTGAGTTCGAGCAGCTGCACTTCCATTGGGGTGCGCAGATCGAGAAAAAGTACAGCGGTGCAGAGCATACCATCGACGGCGTCAGGTCAGAGGGCAGGCTGAACGGCCTTTTAGTTAATGATGGCGAAAATAACATGTCCGAAGTAACAAAGTAGAAGGTTTTAGACATAGAACCAGCTGATCTGTTTAAAAACCATGCACACTTAGAAATGTGCGAAACTCAACCGGTAATTGAGAGTGTCTGCTTGCTTGGCAGGGCTCCTCTGGAGATGCACATGGTCCACAGGAACGTCAAGTACAATACCATGGATCAGGCGGTCAACCACACCGACGGCATCCTCGTGCTGGCGGCCCTCTTCGAGGTGATCACATCGACAGACGGTCAATCATTCAGTCAGGAGGGTCACTTGCTTGCAATCATTTCGTTTATCCGCAGGAACGAAGCACCGGCTCCCTCTAACCTCCTTTCCCTCTTTCTCCATCTCCCTCTTTTCTCCCTGTCCCTCCCTCTCCCCTCCTCTCCCTCTCTTTCTCCCTCTCTCGTCAGATGAACACCAACAACGTAATGCCACTGTTACAAAGCGTTGATATCGTCCATAAAATGGTGGAGCCGTTCATGGGGAACGCCACGCTGAAGCCGCGGCCGCTGTCCTCGGTGCTACCCGAAGACACGACGGCGTTTTTCCGGTACCGCGGCTCGCTCACTACTCCCGGCTGCCAGGAGAGTGTCGAGTGGGTGGTCTTCGAGCACCGGGCACACGTTATCGTCGGACAGGTCAGCTGGGGAGCGGCCAGCGATCTGATCAACGTGTTTTGTTTGTGATTCCGCGAAGTAACGTTTCCATTTATTTTTTTTTTTCAAAAGATTTAGTAAACAAGATGCCCATCTTTTTTGTTTTTAGCTTATCATACATATTTAACGTAACACATATATGCCTATACCCTTGCGAATGCACACATGCTTTCGCAACAAACATACAAATACAAAAAATACAAAAATACTTTCTCGTACAAACATACATTGCAAACTTCCTGCAGCTTATTTCCATACATTTTTTCAGCTGAACATGCTAAGCAAGCTGCGCCGGCCGGACCAAAAGCTGATCAGCCACAATTTCCGGCCGACCCAGAGTGTGAATGCCCGCAAGATCTACCACATGGTTTACAAGCACCCGGGTCAGGTGACTGCCGAGTCCGCGTCCGCTGGCCTGCGCAGTCCGCTGCTTGCGGTGTATGGCGCGGTGGCGGCCGTCGTACTCGTGTGCAACTCACGGCTGTAACGGCGGCACAGCTCTCCGACTGGAACGGACCGAACCTGATCGCGCTCTGGAAATACAGATATCATGGACGCAACGGGCTGGTTTGAGATGACTACACACAGTGGCGCAGCCAGGGGGGGGGGGTCAGAGGGTCAGCTGACCCTCCCCCCCGAAATTTCTGTCAGGGGCCCGCTCGAGAGAGAGAGAGAGAGAGAGAGAGAGAGAGAGAGAGAGAGAGAGAGAGAGAGAGAGAGAGAGAGAGGGAGGGAGGGAGGGAGGAGAGAGGTCCTAATCTAATCGGACGAGCCCGCTTCGAGAAATGCCTACTGGGACACCACGGGTGAGGGGTCGGCCTGGGGCCCCAGGTGGACGGGGCCCGGGCCCCGGGTGGATGGGGCCCAGGCCCCCGAGAGAACGGGCCCGGGCCCCCTGGGTGGATGGGGCCCGGGGCCCCCGGGTGGATGGGGCCCGGGCCCCCGGGTGGATGGGGCCCGGGCCCCCTGGGTGGATGGGGCCCAAGCCCCCGGGAGTACGGACCCCGGGCCCCGAGTGGACGGGGCCCGGACCCCCGGGTGGATAGGGCCCGGGCCCCCGGGAGAACGGGGCCCGGACTCGGAGCCCAGGTGGACGTGGCCCGGGCCCCCGTGGGGATAGGGCCCGGGCCCTCGGGTGAATGGGGCCCGGGCCCCGGGTGGATGGGGCCGGGTCCCCGGGAGAACGGGGCCCGGGCCCCAGGTGGATGGGGTCGGGCCCCGGGTGGACGGGGCCCGGGCCCCCGGTGGATGGGTCCGGCCCCAAGCCCCCGGGGGTACGGGCCCCGGGCCCCGAGTGGACGGGGCCCGGACCCCCGGGTGGATGGGGCCCGGGCCCCCGGGAGAACGGGGCCCGGACTCGAAGCCCAGGTGGACGTGGCCCGGGCCCCGTGGGGATAGGGCCCGGGCCCTCGGGTGAATGGGGCCCGGGCCCCCGGGTGGATGGGGCCGGGTCCCCGAGAGAACAGGGCCCGGGCCCCGGGTGGATGGGGTCGGGCCCCGGGTGGACGGGGCCCGGGCCCCGGGTGGATTGGACCCGGGCCCCCGGGAGAACGGAGCCCGGGCCCCTGGTGGACGGGCCCCGGACCGGAGCCCCGGGTGGACGGAGCCCGGGCCCCGGGAGAACGGGCCCGGACCCTCGGGTGGATGGGGCCCGGGCCCCGGGTGGATGGGGTCGGGTAGGTGCAACGGTCTGGCCTGTACCTACCCCGGGATAAGTAACACCATGCCGGGACCACGGGAACAGACAGAATCTACGTCACCACATCACCACACCACAACAAACCTGGCCCAAGGCAATACAGGACCCATGTGAGCGCGTTCACCCTCGCCGGCTCAGGCCATTTTGCGTCCTTCGACGGCACAAGGGAGGGAGGGTACAACCCCCTTCCTCGCGTTTGGCCCATGATCGAGCTAGAGCTTCGCGGAAAAAAACGAGCGTGTTGCCCGTGACGAGAGGAATCCGAATATACCCAATTCCAAGGTCCTAGGCCATTGGTTGACCTTCCAGGTCAGGTCAATGACCCAAATGTCGGGAAAATCGGGACCTGTTAGAACGTCGTAAAATGTGGCTGCTATAGGGTTTTTGTCGGGGTGCTGATCACGAATATTATGTTAGTTTTGATCACAGATGATGTCTTTATGCATTTGGGCCAGGTCGGGTCAGGTCAGGTCATGTCAACCAGTAGGGGTCCTGCCGGGTATTCGTAGTAGGTACGTCTCAACCGCCTCTGACAGCTTCGTAACATGTTACGAAGGCACCAAAACTACTTCTGAAATGTTCAAATGGTTGCTAAAATCGAATTTAGCTTTTAAAAAATAGCCTAGAAACATGCATTACTTAAAAAAGTGTACCGAGGTCATCATAAGTCAATGACCTGACCTGACCTGACCTTCAGGTGACATTGACATCACCCTTATGCATGGGAGCAACATCAAATCACATGTTTGAACGCTTGAAACCACGAAAGGACTACAAACGCGCGGCTAATAACTACGAGCCGGCATACGCCGAACCGCGATTCTGGCCAAACATGGTCTCGGAAAGGAGGTCAAAGGTCATTTGGGTCTGGGTCATGAAAAATCTAGGATAGGTAGGTGTAAAATTGATCAACGCGAGGGTGCTGAAAGTTACGTCGCGATCAGCCGCTTTTTACGCGAGTTATTCGCGAAAAAAAAAACCTTAGGGGGTGCATCATCAACCCCTCCCCCCTGTGCCGGCGAGGGTTAAAACTTTTTGTGAGCGAATTCACGTAATGAAGAAGAATAATGGCGTAATCTAGATACTAGGGGAAGCGGGGGTAACACCGCCCCCCTAAGCTTTTCGCCATAATGAGAGAATATGTGTGAAGTCTCTTGGTAGTTATTGTCTTGGTTACAATATTTAAACATTTTCTCACGTGTTTTAGGTACTTATTTTGCATGCTCCTAAAAGGTTTTCATGTATCACGACTTTTAAAAATACCTTGCATAGGTATTTGCTGCCTACAAATTGTGTGGGTAACCCCGCCACCGGTGTTGACTGTTGATGTTAACCCAACCCATTCCTACGAAAGCTTTTAATTGTTCAAAGATCGCGTGCGATGAGTTTCCTGTCCGTAAGTGGTAATTTTCGCAAATAATCGGTAATGGACACCTAAATAGGTATAGGTTCATCAGCTGTTTGCCAGTTTTATACAGCTGGCAAGTGCTTGGTCGGGATGCATGAAAAATATTAAGTAAAAAATCAAATAAGTTGCTTTTTCCCGACTTAGGATCATCTACGAACATAAATGAAGCGTGTCTTTGGAGTTTCATCACTTATCACGCTACAAACAGGAAACACCGCAACCTCAATTGGGGTAACACCGCCACGGGGTGGCGGTGTTCCCCAATAAGTGATCACAAGCAAAAATCGCCAGCGGCAAGAATGTACTACACGGTTCAAGCAAACCTATCTTACTGGACAAAGCCGATCAGTTATTTTTTGATGTAATCAAGTAAATCAAAATGAGTCTCTACTTAAAGACATTTAAAAGTGCTCCCAACTCATCGAATTTTTATAAGAGAATGTGCATTTTTCTTTAAATGCCCACATTGAGCTTCGATTACACTGAAACACCGGAACACAAATCAGAAGACGCTTACCTTCGTGCGGTTAATAGGAAATAACGGATTTTTACACTTCACATTTCATACTTTCGCCGCCAGATGGGGTGGCGGTGTTTCCCACAGTGGCGGTGTTACCCCCGCTTCCCCTACAGCAGCCAATAGATGGCTTAGGACAGGCACATGAGCCTATACTTAAATCTTGTCCGACAGAAGCAGGCAACAGTTCCGATTGCATATATGCTATGCATATTGCGGAAGGGGCACTTTTCGGCCTCGAAAGATACGAATTCATACGTCATAGTAACATATTTCTGTTGTGGTCAATTTGCGTAAAAATTGAGCACCGGGTGATTATCGAGCTATTGTTCTATCCAAATTTTCTGATTCATACTCGCTCAGGGTTATCGTGCAGGTAAAGAGGGCCCGCTCAGCAGAATGTGTATGAAATATGGAGAGATTCTGAAAAATGAGTGGGGGCCCGCACACTAGGGGGCCCGCTTTGGAGGCGATGACCCCCCCCCCCCCGAAACGAAATCCTGGCTGCGCCACTGACTACACATAATCAGTTGTAATTTTCTTTGTTTATGCAATGTGCATATAATACGATTCCCAAGTCTCAGCTCCATAAGTGGTGACCAATTAATATCAAATTGGGTCGACGACTCGGGATTTTTTTCCTATGAAGTGTGCATGTGCATTGTGCATTGCGCAATGCATTGGAGTTTCTGATAATTGCAGCGATGCACGACTAAATGAGAGCTGAACGAGAAGGTAATGAGCTCTTACACTTTATCTTCGAGGAGGGAATTATTGTCTAAGGACTCCTTGACTTGCTTCGTATCCTGCTCGAAAAAAAGAAAGAAAAAGCGCTCTTATGTTTTCTCGCTATAGCGTATGCTTGCCTCAAATACCTCCAGAGCGTCTGTCCTGTCACCAGCCATCTGTTCCGGTCAATCGCGAATCGGGATCAATTACTGCCAAGGTGAATATTACTGAATACAACTGCATTACGACAGTAGCATGCATCATCGACTCTCTGTTTTGTTTCTAACTAGAAGCGCCATTTTGGTATACTAGTTATACCTGGACCAATCATGTAGGTTATTAGAAGGACTTATCCCAGAGTCGTCAATTGACCAGCAATAAATAAGCATAGGTATTGATTGGTCCAGAGTTCCCCTAGTTTGGCGGTATGCACGAAGCAGTTGAGCTTTCCCTGATATCCCGTGAATTGTGTACGCTCGAGCTGACCCGTCATGGTTCCATCGTTTAATTAATGTCTATCGTGGAGCTCGGTTGATCACCGTCGTCCCCGCGATGTCGGTACCGTACCACTCAAGTGAAAATGCCTGGAGCTGACATGTCTATTGTCGACCGATTGGTGTTGTCCACACACCCATCCCACGCGGTTTAGACACATCAGGATCGCTCGGATGCATCCGTCCGTACTCTGTTGGCAATGACCGGCGCTGTCAAATGCGTCACCGCCACGTCGCGCGTCGCTTCGGCGTAACTCGACCGCGGCATATGTGCAACATGAGCTGCCACATATATCATGCCGAGCGCGTCGCAATCAGAAATGACAGGCCAAGACCGTGTCAAGAGATCCAACTCGGAGAGAACTGGTGATCCGGGACAAGCGCAGATAGACGTTGAATAGCAGGAGGAGCGAGCACTTCCCGCTTGACGTCACACCCGTTCAGTTGTATTATTTTTTGTCAACTTGGTCAGTGGCGCGTGGCTGGTGAGCTACGTCAGACTGAGAGAAGAATCATCGACTTTGCTGCGCTTTTCTCAGCAGAATTTTTGCCCCATTGATGAGTTTTGGTATAGCATCAACGACAGAATAATCGATAAATTTGTATTTTATCTGCAACAATGAAAGCAGGTGAGCAAGCGAAAGCAACTATCCTCTAATAATGAAACAGTAGCGACTTTGTATATCACATTCAACGCACCATACACCAGACCTGTGAGCACAGGCTTGGAGTGTAACTTCACAACTAAAACACGTTCTTCCCAAAATCAACTGCAAACGTAGCGACACGTAGGCATCCGAGCGTAAACGCGAGCGAGAATGGTGATTTACTGCTAGCCACAAAAGCTATACGAAACTGCAATTCTATGGCTTATATTTCCACATCGGGCATGCGGCCGGAGCTGGTCAGGCTCCTCTCTGAGAGCCGCACCTTCAGGATGAGCGGGTCGGCGTGCCCGGTGGTTTCCGCCGTGCTGCGGATGATGTTCGTCATGCGTGACGCCAGGACGTAGCGGCGGGGTTCCTTGCTGGGCAGCACCGGGATCTGTCGCTGTGCGGCCGTCACCGGCTCCACCTTCATCTTGGGACAGAGTAGCGCGAGCACCCAGCCGTCGGTGATCATGCTAAACAGCCTCATGAAGGTGGTGACCCGGTGAGCGGTGTCAAGCCGTGCCAGCCCGGTGGCCTGCAGCACGTTCACCACCACGTTCGGGACGATCAGGACGAGAAACATCAGCGACATCACCAGGAGGACGTAGTAGCCGCGGTGGCGGAACAGTCGCGCCGAGTTGGCCCTGCGCAGCACGCTGTCCGCCTGCTGCTGGATCCGCCGGCCCTGCCGCACGCCCGCCCAGCCGATCAGCACGTTGATGACCATGCTGGTCGTGTAGGTGACCATGACGAATGCGGATGTGGTGAGTCGGTACGCCGGCGGAATGCTGAACCAATGGTCGCACATCTGCGCTGACGAGCCCACGCCGAGCGCCAGCCGCAGCGACACGCCGAACAGGAAGAAGAGCGCCGTGCAGATCCACTGAGCAGCCAGCAGAATACGGCGTCTTGTGTCCGTCATCAGGACAAAGTAGCGCAGACCGTGCACCACGGTCACGTATCGCTCCACGCTCAGCGCCAGGAAACAGACCACCGTCGATGTAGCGGTGGACGAGCGCAAGAACACGCCCACCACGCACAGCCAGGCGGGCGGCAGCGCGTCCAGCAGCTTCAGCGAGCCAATGGTGGCCGAGAGGGCGCCCACCACTGTCTCGGCGACGGCCATACTGGCCAGCACCTGGTACATGGAGGAGGCGCGCAGCTGCCGGCGGCGGGCGATGATGACCACCGGCACCAGCGAGCTGACAGAGACCACCAGGCCGAGCCCCGCCTCTGCCGCCGCCGACATCCGTGCTAAAGACGTGCAGGACAGTTTGAGACAAGTCTCTTCCTATGCTTTGTCGGTAGGATAGACGGCCAAGTGATGACGTAGAAATGAGCTTACGTTGAGTTCTTACAGCATACTCTTTGAAAATATGTACTGGTTGCTAGTCAAGTGTCAGCTGCTAGATGTTGCAGTACTATTGATGCCAGAGGGAACAGCAGGATCGGTCCTGGATAGCTGGTCGTTGCGCCAAATAGTTAAGAGTTGAAGCTAATCTGCCGATGCCAAATTCTGGCAGCTGCAAGTGTGCTGTCGTAAGACCAATGACTGCCTGTTGCAGCTCTCTCGACTTCCTGCTGTTGTGTATCCTCAGTTAGCGCTCCCAGTCGAACTGAGCAGCTGCGGGACCGAGTCGGCCGACGGGTGTGGTGGCCTCTCTCCGACTGACTACCACACTGTCCGTCCTGATAGAGTCCCTCCCTCGGACCAACGTGCTCTCCGTGGCAGCCATGGTAACGCAGAGACGCACTGGCCGTCCCGGGCGGGTCACAACTGAGTGCTGAGTACGGAACGGGTTACTGCACATGAGAGGGACGGTGGCTTCCGCCGACTGGTGACCTAACTTTGAGGGGTGACGCCGCCCCATGTAGCTATCGTTTTAACATCTTTGTAAAAAAAAAAATGTGCTCGGCCTTTGCTGACGCTGTTATATTGACTCGAACCGAAAGTTTGCTAAAAAATGCACATATACCCAATACCTTCTTACGGCTATCTGGCTAAGTTGTCGGTTTAATGAGTTAAACAGCTTACGTAAATTTATCCATTAAACGTGCTTGTATTATCCTCCAATATCTACTAAATTGATAAAAATGAAGCATTTACTGCATTCGTAGGAATATCTGCCGTTTGCCAACAATCATCTCACCACATAGTTAGGCGCATTATTACATTATTAGGTACCGGTTATAAAAAAATCTTGCCTTTACATTTATTTGTATTGACATGCCACAATAAAATAGGTATAAATCTGGTATGAAGTACCCATGCCACACAATGTAACACTTTTTCGCTTTCTGTCATGATCGCTTCTTGATTTTTTAGGGGTTGGAGAAGACAGGTACATAGTTAAACTATGAAGGTACACGGATGTATATTCGATGCAAACATTTCATGTGGACTTAAATATGGTTGAGCACCGCGATATAATGCCATAAAAGAGGTTGACATAATGCCCTTCTTCGAACAAAACTTGGCTATCTACTGCGTCCTCCACACGTAATTATCGATAAATCGCAAAACGCAATTCTATCAAAACCATTGTGATCCGATATCAGCATAACTATGGCTCTGTCAAAAGTGAAAATGGCACAATTTATCATTTCTAGTTCTCGGGCAGGCCGTACAGACCGGACGGGGCTACAACAGGGGGCGTTTGGGGCGGAGGTATGTACAGAGCGCTATTGCATAAACATAAGATTTACGCCACCGGAGTAGATCTTAACTTTTTTACGAAACGGCCATACTCTACGAAACACCGTAAAACCTGTTGCATAAAGGCCGTGACCTACTTCGTAAATATTTGGAAAATCTAGGTATGACGTCATACATGAATGAAAATAGTGCCGGATCTCAGCACGAAATGCAGAAGAATGGTGACAATAATGAAAGCGATTAAAGTTCCAGTGTACTGAAATGTGTGAATCACGTTGTCTGGATAAGTGGTTCAAATCACCTTGAATTGATAGCGACTTTAGAAAACCTTTCGTACTTTTCAATATTCATGCGCCCTCCCACATCAAGCGGCGGTCGGCTTGGTAAACAACATCGATCGTGGCATCTTGGGAGTGTGGGATATTCTAAGATCATAGATAATTTGCCCTCACTATGGGTTTCAGTCGATATTCTACATAAATTTGCATAGAACTGAGTGCACTGTATCCGTCTAGAACAGAGCCGTAGCTGCTACTGCCACCTTTCGCCAATTAAGTAAGCTGAGATTTGTACACTCGCCGTCCGGTGGTTGCTAGGTAGGACACGGAAGTAAACAACATTCCAAAAAAGAATTTCAAGACAAGTGTCCAGCTTGGCTTGCAAGATCGAACAAGATCATCATTTGGTGGCTGAAAATGAAGAATTAAGATAACCAGGGCCCAGACTAACAAGTAAGTTTTCTATTATAGCGAATGGTTAGTGAACAATTGTCGGTTCATTGGCAGCACACTGCTCACTGCTCAGCCCTTTCAGACCAATCGTGAGCTTTTTCAATAGTTAATGGTTAAAGGTAATGCCGCTACAATTCCTGATCTATATTTTCTTTTGGTGTATTTTGAATTTGGCATCGTGTTTATTAGCCTCAGCCCTCAATTACTCGCAACATTTCAATGTTCTGTCGCTTTTTCTTCACCATTATCTACAATTAGGTATGTTGAAATGCCATATCATATTGATATGGTGTCAGGTGTCTTATCATTAAAATCATTTAAATGTCCACAAAATTACGTTTAATTATATATTTGCAAGCAACATGCTTTCGCGCGTTGAATTAGTAGGCACAAAACAGAATGCATTTAAGCTAGGTATTACAAGATGAATACCTACCTATTCGTCTGTGGGCTTGCGTGATATTTTTCAGTTTCAAACGTAAGCATTAAGGGCATATCAGCATAGCATCTAGATACCTACTGAACTATTCTGAATCTGCCAGTGAATTGCTGATTACTTTCAATTCACAGGCTTTAATTAAATGACATGGCTAATTAAATTTAATTAAATGGCACTGGCTAAAATTGGTTAATTAAATTTAATTAAATGCACTGGCTAAAATTGGCTTTAAAAAGTCAACTTTACCAGTATAGCAGGGCACAGTCACAGACCTTTATGCTTGCATTCAAAGAAGGCTGAGAGCGAGGAGATACATGGTGTCATAAAAAGTTCATTATTCGCTCGATTTACTTTTTCCGCCCCTGTCTATATATGTACTTATCGCCTCTTTCCTGATTCCCTCAGTCCTCTCTCCTATTTCATGCTCTGTCAGCCACTGCCTTCGAAAATGATCTCCTCTCAATCCATTCGTTCTAGTCTTTCTGATACTTACCGACATCATTATTTCTGTTGCAGGAATTTCTATCCGACTTCGTGGAGGAGTCTTCTGACCACGGCATTCGGCTGTTCTACATGAAGGTTGAAGAATCCCGCTGGGTTCAGCCGACAGAGGGCTCTGATAAATCGCCGATAGATGGCGGCTGCTACGCCAAGAGTCACTACCTTCGTTGAAATCGTCCTATCAGCAGCGTCTTATCCCGGTGTTGGCGCACTCGGGAAAAGTGAGGCTGTGCAGTGTGCAAGCTCAGCATCATTTGTTCCTTTTTTTAAAGCGCTCTGCGTGTTACGATTACAGTGACATGTCAAGTTTACGTGGGTCTCTAGCTCAACTTGAATCGCGGCCGTATTGGTGCACAGACGTTCTCTGAATACGTATGGTACATACGTGCTAGAATCTGAGGCGAGTGTGTTTGGATGTTCACTAAAATCGTCAACGAAATGTGGGAACCAGAAATAAACATCGACACGACTGATATGTTTGATGACTAATGCGTCTGCAGTTCCTCAAACGAGCTACGAGCGTGGTCTAACGTCAGTCACCACCGTTGTAGTACAATTGTCGGGTACGACCATGCTTATATCATGCTTTCGCATTGGTTGAGAAATGAGAGGTGCGGTTGCAGTCTTTCTATAAATTGTTCGAGGATAAGAAAGCATCAGTGTGTTAAGGAGTTACCTTCATATGCATTCATAACTGTATAAGGACTCAAAAAGTTGGAATTCGGCGTCAAACAGCTGCAATAGCCGACTTTCGGCTAAAATCTAAGAAGCCCACCCCCTCAGTAGAATATTTTACGATTTTTACACATTTGGCGCATCTGCGACATTTTCTGCGCGTTTCGGCGAACTACTTTTTCTTAAATCTTAACTTATATGCAACAGAAACCCCCAAAAGTTACGTCACGTGCTGGAGTAAATTCCTTGCTCTCCGTACTATTTTCAAGACCTTTGTGAAACAGATTGGCGTAGAATAAGTACGATTCTAAGACAATTCGTAAAATATCCGGTGTCGTAAGTTTTATGCAATAGCGCTCTGGTCTGGTATAGTCTGAGGCTGCTGTGCTGACTGTGCAGGCTGTGCTGGTGGAGCAGGCTGTGCCGTCTGTGCCGTTTGTGCTGTCTGAGGTGGCTGTGCGGACTCTGCTGGCTGTGCTGGCTGTGCCGTTTGTGCCGTCTGAGGTGGCTGTGCGGACTCTGCTGGCTGTGCTGGCTGTGCCGTTTGTGCCGTCTGAGGTGGCTGTGCGGACTCTGCTGGCTGTGCTGGCTGTGCTGGTTGAGCAGGTTGTGCTGGCTGTGCCGTTTGTGCCGTTTGAGGTGGCTGTGCCGTCTGTGCCGTTTGTGCCGTCTGAGGTGGCTGTGCGGACTCTGCTGGCTGTGCTGGTGGAGCAGGCTGTGCTGGCTGTGCCGTTTGTGCCGTCTGAGGTGGCTGTGCGGACTCTGCTGGCTGTGCTGGCTGTGCTGTTTGTGAAGTTTCTGCCGACTCCGCTGGCTCCGTCTCCCCCAAAGTTTCCGATGGCACTGAAGGCTGCTGCACAACTGATGACATTTCCGCCGGGGTCCTCGGCGGCTGAGCTGACTGTTCCGTCTCCATTGACGCCGATGGCGGTGGTGACATCGGAGATGGCGGTGACGGTGCCGATCCAGATGACGCCGGTGATGACGTCGATGACGGTGCCGATGACGTCGATGACGCCGGCGCTGGCGGCCCGGCAGGCCGTTCCGGCACCACTCCAATGGCCTCGTTCTTGTCGTAGAACTCCTCAGACGACTCACAGTCAACATCATGCCACCACTGGCAGGCGAAGCCGCGCTGGTTGAACACCGTCCCGTTCGGACAGAGGAAGGAGTGCTTGGAGGAGACTCCACCGGACGGGGGGCTGCACACGTGGAACGACTGGCAGCGCGCCTCCACGTCAGCGTAGTAGCCTGTCGGAGGAACGTCAGTCAGTGGGCGAATGCTCAGGACTACAACTTGGCACACAAATATATCTTTGCGATGTTTGTGAATGGGAATAGGAATGGGAATAGGAATGAAGGAACTGCGCTGGTAATGGCATGGTATTAGGAATTGATCAAATTATGGACAAATAATAAGCTCAATTATCGCATACTTTGGTAACGGTTCTATCGCTTTAATTGCCGTTGTCGGTGTTTTGACCTATTAGAAAATCCTCTCACAGCAACATCACCACCATGTATGTTTATTTAGAGCTTGAAGACTTGTAGGGGAGACCCGGGAGGTATGGGCCCCCTGGAGGTATGTGCCATCGCAGTTTTGAAGAAGTGTTGCGTATTTTTACACATTTGACCGCGTAAACTGGTAGCAGCCATTCCGTTATACAACCCACGTGATTTCCAAAATCTTCCTCAGTCTTCTTTGGCAATGAGCGGTGATAAAGCGTTTTTGCCCTCTTGGAGTAAAATACGGTACATACAGAAAATTCGTGATAAATTTGAACCAGGCTCATTTTATGATGTCAGACTATCGCTAATATAAAGTTTAAAACATGGAAATTAAGACTGGATAGACAATTGGAAGCTTTCTTGCAAGATTATGAGCTGAGATGCTACGCACATTATGGCGTCCTAACCGGGAGGTTCGGGCCACCCACCCCCCGTTGATCCTAAGTCAATAAAATGATGCTTTCATTGAATGTCCGCTTCAATAAGTTTTATTTTTGTCGCGCAAGGTCGAAAATTTAACTACAAATTTCATTCGAACAAAAAAATATTATTTATCTTATTTCACGGAGCATTATTGAGTTAACCAAAATGCATATGTGCCCACGTGACCCCCATGAAGTAAGCTGTTGATCGCTTATGCGGTTCCTGGACTCTAGAGAGATCAGGGTAGATACCAGCTACGAGTATTTTTCTCATTGTCGAGAAAAGAATATGAAACATGGCACCGGCGCATACCTCCCGGACCATGGCCCATACCTCCCGGTGTATTTTGATGGATCGAAAAAGCGCATGATTTATTTAAAGTTATCTCGAGACAAAATAGGTGATCCCAGATGCCTAATATCAGGCACACTTTGCAGGCGAAAGGCAATTTCACGTACACAGAGTGAAAAACCGGGTCTAGCCACCGCCCTCTGGAAGAAAATTGCCTTTTCACAAAACCGGCCCATACCTCCCGGGTCTCCCCTACCTTTGGAAGACGAGACTTATACCCGGAACAAAGATGATTAGCGAACGAAAGCCTACCCGAGCCAATTTCCAGTCTGCAATGGATCCCTCCCCCCCCCCCCCATAGCCTCCCTTTCACACATATACCCGCAGCCCCCACAGCCTATTACACAGCTCCACAGCCCCCACACATCCCCACACCCCACCACACACTCCCGTCCCACCTGCTGTTCTGTCGTCACAGCTGAAGGCGGTGGGCGGCACGGCACTGAAGATGGGGTAGTCGACGCCGGGCTCCCCCGGCACGGCCTCCCTCAGCCACTGGAGGGGGTCCGTTGAACCGCCGTGGTGGCCGTGCTCTGTGCCGGGGTCACCCCCGCTCGGCGGCGACGGCGACTGGGGGGGGGGGGGACGCACAGCGGTGAGGGTTAGGCAGACACGTTAAGTGCATATGTTGCGTGACTCACACTAGCCCTTGTAGGCTAAGCGTGACTCTTTTGTATCATTATTTACTTTTTGACTACCCGATTCTAAGCATACCGTTTCGCAAAACATGAACACGCTCTTCACAATTTGTAAACAATACTGCAGCACCGACCCATTTCTTTAATTAAGAATATCATACTTCCATGGACAGCTGCTGCTCATTATAACGCTTCTGTTGTGACAGTGTCTGGCAGCTACTAACGAAGCCGCGACGAGCCATCGCATCTCCGTCAGACTGACCTGCGGGCCTTCCTGGTCCCCGGAATCCAGCGGAGGTCGCTCGGTGTTCCCCGATGACGTGGGCTTGCTGCTCGAGTCGGGCCCGACTGGAGGTGGGGTTATCGATTCGACCGGGGGCATCGGGGAGGCGTCGCCGGGGGAGGGCAGCTTCGGATCGCTGGGCGAAGGAGCCTGCGGGTTTGCGGGAGCGTTAGAGTTGGTTGGGGCTTCGGGACCAGATGGGGCTGGAGGGCCGGCCGGGGTCGGGGAAAGAGGGCCAGTCGGGGAAGGGACGTTTTCAGTGTCTGTTGACTGTCCCTCGCTGGCTGTCGGTTGCCCCTCAGCTGGTGACGGCTGCACCCCAGTCTCCCCTGGACCTCCTTCCGTGGCTGCTGTCAGCCCCTCAGTACCAGGACCCTCGGCGTCGTCCGGTCGCGTTGGACTCGGTAGGACCAGCGGCTGGTCCGGTCGCGGGTACTGGTACTTTGTGGCCTCGGTAGGAGTCGACTGCTCCTCTGTTGGGGACGTCTGTCCCCCAGTCGGGGTGGGTCCACTTCCACTGGGTGCTGGCGGGCCCTCACTGGGTGCTGAAGGTCCCTCAGAGGGTGGTGAAGGTCCCTCTGTGGGTGCGGAAGGTCCCTCACTGGGTGCTGGCGGGCCCTCTGTGGGTGCCGAAGATCCCCCAGTGGCTGCTGGCGGCCCCTCAGTTGGTGCCGGTGTCTGTTCGACGCTGCCCGGGAGCGGAGGGGTCGGCAGGACCAGCGGCTGCTCTGGCGGAGGGTATTTGTACTCCATGGCCAGACCGGGAGTGGCCAGCACTGACGAAAAAACGTGCGCCGAGTGTAAGACTCTCGTCATGAGCAGATAATTTACATTCATTATACCTATTTAGAGGTAAGGTAAAGAGCTTCGAAACATCAGTTGTTTTGAACATTTTATGATAAGTAAAATTTAAAATGTATTAGAAATTAAAGGACCTTATTTTGTTACAACATTAACTGTCTGTCGTTTTATTTTAACTCTTTTGTCGTTTTTTTTAAAGTTTGATGTTTTTAGGAGATTTTTTTTTTTGAAATTTCAGTGCAACACGGCACAAACTATCGATTTGCAAGCTCCACACTTACCAATCAGGATAAGGCACCTCCACATCTTCTCACACATTTTCCTCCACAACAACTGAAAACCTAAACGCGTCCGCATACCATTTATACCGGCAGATGCTCCGACCTGTACTCGGTCACGTGACCACGCCGGTGTACTCGGCACAGGGTCACGTGTTGGTCTGTCACTTTCACCACTCGGCAGTGCGTATGCGCGTGTGCGTGGAGGGCCGTGCGATCGCCTGGGGAGGGAGGCGCTCATCTGGCGCTGACACCTGAACCTCCGCCTCCACTGCCAATGTCACACAGGTCGTTTCGGGGTCAGGACCGTGACCTCGGGACAGCGCGCCGCGGCTGGCAGCGCCACTAGCTCACCCCTATAGTGGTGATCCAGCGGACTCGTGCTGCGCTCAGCCTTGTGGTAGGCCACGAGTTTTCCAAATATCTGTCAACTCGCGACGAACAGGAAATCGATGTAAATTTCATGTGATTCATTTCCTTTTCTCTTCTGTCGCTAGTTAGCCTGGCCGTACCCTCCGTATTGTTTGGTTGCCGTTTCAGTGTTGTTTAGTGTTTATGTTCAAGGATTCCAGTGCTACGTTTTGGAGTGGAAGAATGGACGTATTGAATATTCAGTTGCAAACATACTTATATCCATGAAGTGAGTATCATAGTCTGAATCATCGGACAGTATCGACTGAATCATGGGGATACAATAGCCGTTTTCACGACGGGATAGGTATGTGGTGAATGCACCTAATTTGACCAAATCTGCACCAACTCTCTTTTACAATAAATATCCTCATATCACGAATTTATTTCAGTGTTTTAGTCTATGATTATGTCTGATAGCATGACAAAGAAGGCATGCATACACCCATACACATGTATAAGCAATTAAAAGCAATTGGCGCAACCCAAGCTAATAGTTACGAAGAATCATCCTGAACCTAATTTGACCAAATCTGCACCAAATCTGACGACATGTGTCCCAAATGGTACCAGATGGCCGTCGTTGAAAACCGCTAATATATATTTTCTTCCAACTAGTTGGACTTCGCCATCGCGGAATTAGGACATTGAAGCCACTTACGGATCCCAACGGACCTCTGGGGTATTTGCCTATGCCTAGCTCCCGGCCCGCAGTGCTCGAATGTAGTCGTTTCTGAGTATGGAATAGAAACTGTAAGTTATGTAAGTAATGTATGTTTTATAGTTATGAATTTTTTATAGGAAAGTTAACCCACTTTTTAATTGCATTGATTTTATGGAGTGTTATAAATTTTATTACACATTCGCTGCAAGTTTTTCCTTTGATGTGTTTTTTATTGTATCTAAAGAACTGCATAATTTCATATCCCGCTGAAGACGTTTACTATATCAAAGTATAGACGTTTACTTAAGTAATTTTAAAAATGAGTTAGACTTGTATTATAAACAGCGTGGGCTGGGCTAGTGTTCGATGAAATGGTGTAATTGTACCGTGTTTTACATACAGTGTTTGTTCATCTACCTGTAACCTCGTTGGGCCCAAGTGGCCTGCTGTTACATGGAATACATGTTATGTTATGTTATGTAAAAGACTTCTATACCGACGCATGTGACTGAATCAATAAAATACCTACGCGTAAAAATGCATTACGCCCCCGGGGCAATATAAACAATGCATTTTTAACTCCGCAGCACAGCTGTTTCTCGACTCGTAGCACACCTGAGTTTATGGTGACTGAGTATAATGTACGATCATTAGTGTCTCTCCGTGTGGGGTCTATTCTCACGCTGCTCCGTCCGCACCGCTGAATTGATAGCGTTGTTTGGCCGATGGTTGGGTGGTGTGCCGGATTGGAGGGGGCGCCGGGAGGGGCGGGGGAGGGGGGCGGAGGCGCCAGGCGGTGACGCGGCGCCTTCCATAATCACGTTGGCTGCGGGCCGTTCCTGGGAGGTCAGCGGGGTCACGGGGCGGTCACTCACCTGGCCCAATCAGAGGACAGTCAGCCGTGGGTCACCTGACGCCTGCCCACCGCCGGCGCCGGCGCGGCAGAGACAGCTATCCCCGCATCTCGGTATCGTCGGGAGACGGATGGACGGCCCGGGACTGCGGTATGGGATAGAGGGGCAGTGGAGGCGGGACGGGAGATGGGACATGGGACGCAGAGCTGGGACAAGAAAATGGGACATGGGACGCTGAGGTGGGACGCGGTTGTGGGATACGGGACACGGGGACTAAGGAAGGAACACGAAATCTGGATTCGGGGAAACTGTTTAGAGAAGCCATTGACAGTTTGAAACACAAGCACAGGCTCAGCAGTCAGTGGGGAGTGCGGATAATGGACACAAAGAGGACACAGAGACACAGACGGGACACGGACATGATCGCGGACACGGACACGGACACGGGCACGGACACGAACACGGACACAGAAACGGACACAGACACGGACACGGGCACGGACACGGACACGGACACGGACACGGACACGGGCACGGGCACGGGCACGGTCACGGACACAGACACGGACACACAAACACGAACACGAGGCGTCACAAATTAGGCGGCCGTCGCGCAGCTGAGCAGCAGATACCATCTGACAGACATGCCAGCGCTCGCCGGGATGTCTCCAGATAGACCCCATCCGATGATCGGCGGCGGATCGGATGTCTTCCATCACCGCCACACGAAGAAATGTGAGCGCACTGTCGACTATTATTGGTAAAATCGCCCCGCGCGCCATCCCCAGTCCTATCGGGAAGTCCCAGAAGGAAATTGAGTTGTATTCGGCCCACAGTCCATCTGTACGTTTGCCTGTTTGTCCATCTGCATGTCAGTCTTTTCATCTGACCGCGGATCGTGGACGGATATTGGTCGGTTTGTTTTTAGGGCCATAGGTCGGTCGATTCACAGGCCCGAGCATTAACGTCATCTGACGTCAGTTGGTTACAACAGACTTGTCACAGCTGATGAGAGTGACGTCATCTCAGTCCACTAGTTAATTTTGGACCTCCATCACCAGGATGTTGACGGACAAGGCGGATAGGGTTTCGACAATCATCTGGCAATTGACGCTATAGATCCGATGCTTTTGATAGGCGCGTCTTTTCCTTTGATGCTTGATTAGGCTCTTACAATCGACGATTGCTCTCGCAGGCAGTCATGTTTGTCGAATGCGATACTGCATGGGTATAGATATGACGAATACCCTTTCATATGCCCGCATTGTGGTGGTATGTATGTACACAGAGTTACCAATTTAGTGCTGCAAACCCACTGGAAATGAAAGTTCGCGTTCATCGAACTACCTATATCGAGTAAAACGTGTATTATGCAACAAAGAACATAGCAAACGCTTGTACACTTTCATAGTGATGAATATAAAATGTCACCACAACGGCTCCTTCTCCCAAATCAACTCTGGTCGCAATAAAGCATGTGAATTTTAGCTGCTTAGCGCTATATAGCATAGCAAACATACGAATGTTAGGCACTTCTCTTGACTCTTACCTCTTTCGTGCAATGTAATACTTCTTTTGCGACACTCATCTCTAGGATCAGCGGCGAAATACTTATTCGTTCGCAGCTGACATTGAGGTCATGGCTGGAACTCCACACAATTCATCGATAGCTCAGGCACCCTCAGCATAAAAGCATCGAAGGCGTCAAAAAAGCTCGGTTATGCAAAAGCATCGACGTAACCTTTCCCCAATATCGTCAACGGACTATGCAAATTAAATTGCAAGCATTGCATGTACAAATATATGCAATCACGTAAGACCGCTCTGTTCCAAGTTAAGGTGCCTGCGTGTTGGTCTAAAGCAAACCTATCTATCAGTGGTTTCCAACAACCAATATCTATCGTGACAAACACCATTCATCACATGCGAGCAGAGGCCGCCTCTCACGCTATCCGAGTTCGTTGACAAGCTCGTTGAGTTCTCTCTCCAACGCTCTATATTTCTCCTTTTCATTTCTGAGCTTGTCGAACAGCCGCTCAGCAGTCGTTTTCAGCATGTAGTTGCCCTTCTTGATGGCCTTTTCGTTATTTTCATGGCGCTTGGATCGCTCCTGCATCTTTTGCACACGCTCCAGTGGTAGAGACTCGTCGTCCGTCTCCGAGTCGTCCGAGGACTCCTCATCTGACTCGGTGTCGGACTCCTCGCTGGAGGACTCCTCGCTCTCCTCCTCCTCCTCGCTCGGCTCCTCGTCCTCCTCCTCGTCCTCCGAGTTCTCCTCGTCGCTGCCCTTCATCATGGCGCCCAGCTTACGGACCTCGCGCTGCAGCTCCTTGTACTTGCGGTTCTCGTCCTTCAGGCTCTGGTTCAGAGACTTGATGCGGTTCTTCAGCTGTATCCTCTCATCTTTGGCGTGCTTCTCCTTAGTGTTGATGTGCCACACCTTGCTCTTGCACATTTTCAGGTCCCTCATTTTCTTTTTTCTGTCCTGGTCGAGCTCGCGACGTCTCCTCCTCGCTGTCCGGCTCGTCGTCCGAGGACAGCTCCTCCTCAGACGATTCCTCAATATCCTCAGACGGCTTGCTCATCTCCTTCTGCAGCTTCGGTTTCTTATCGTCCTTCTCCTCTTTGCCCTCTTTGCTTTCCTTGCCATCCTTCCCTTCTTTTGCTTCCTCTGCCTCTTTGCCATCGCCTCCGCTCTTGTTGACCTTGGCCTTGGAGGCGGTCTTGGAGAGTTTGTCCTTGGTCTTGCTCTTGACCACCACCTGCTCGTTCTCCCACTCGGCTGGTTTGGTCTCCTCCGGCTCCGGCGGCCCGTTGAGCAGACCCTCGTCCTGCAGACGGGCTCTCAGGGCGGCCAGCTCCTGCTCGGCGGTGCGCGCCCGTTCCGCCCACAGAGCCTCCGCCAGCCGAGCCGCCTCCAACTCCTCCCGGACGGCGCTCACCTCAGCCGCCCCCGCCCCCGCCCCCGCCCCCGCCGCGTCAGCCGCCACGTCCTGACGGGAAAAGGTAGGCTGTTAGCCATGAAGTGATGAAAGCAGAGTCAAGGCTGTCGGTGTTATGATGATACGAGCTAAATGGCTGATTCATTCACGCAATAAATTGTGATTCGAATTATTATTACACCACCGTCGTTCATATCAGTCGCTTTCTTCAATATCGCAGTATACGTGTAAATTAAAAAAAACTTGACAAACACCACACTGCCATTTTCAAGTGGGTCTCAAACTGAATAATACGACTGACGATATTATGCAGGTTGCAATGGAATAGCGGCGGCCTATTAAGTACTCGTATAGACTTCTAACCTGGGCTGTCTGCGGCGGTGGCACCGTCTCCGCGGCAGCGGCGTCCGGCTGTGCCGTGCCGCGCAGCTTGTCCAGCTCGTCCTGCATCCGCTTCAGCTCGTTCTTCATGTGCTTGTTCTCCTTGACGAGCCGCTCGCGGTTCTTGACCTCCTCGCCGAGCAGCTGCCGGGTCGACTGGAGGTCGTCTCGCACCTGAACGCCAGAAAAGTTCAGTGATACGTCACTCTAAATTACAATTTATAGAACGTGTTTTAAAAACAATAGATATAAAGTGGGCAAGCCACACACAGAAAAATATTAACACCGTTAGCGGTGTAATTGCACAGTACATATCTGAGCACTTCAGGAAAGTTAATTTAGTCCCTTCCCCGCTTAAATTACTCGCGCTTCTAAATGAACACCAGGAAGAAGGTAATAGAACACTGTTAGGAGGGTTGGGTGTTTTGCTACATGTAGTAAAACACCCAACCCTCCTAACAGTGTTCTATTACCTTCTTCCTGGTGTTCATTTAGAAGCGCGAGTAATTTAGGCGGGGAAGGGACTAAATTAACTTTCCTCAAGTGCTCAGATATGTACTGTGCAATTACACCGCTAACGGTGTCAATATTTTTCTGTGTGCACATAGCGACGGCAGCAAAAAAAAACAGAATAAGACATTCAGAAGAAAAAACAGCAGGAGGACCCACTAAGCTTCTTGACGGTATCAAATAGCAGTCCGCTTCCTTCTGGAGGGCTGGCCTGTAAGCTAATGCTTAGCGAGAGCCGGAGAGTCGTTACTTTATTATTAACATAAACATTATTTTGTCGTTCATAGATAAGTCACTTTATTTAATAATACAAGCTTGAAACACAGATGATTCTTGAAATACATATATGGTAGACGTAACTGACTTATAAATCTTAAGACTTCAATCAATAAACACTATCGTTCTCTCATTTCCTCATTCTAGAATGACGTAACAGCGATAAACATGGGAACATAAAGTAAGGCACATCGGCTGGTTTCCGAAGTACCACAGCGGTGAGTGGGCGACATCACCTTATCGATATCGTCCAGTTCCTCGGGCTCCGAGTCAATCAGCTCCTCGGGCGGCAGGTTCAGGAACGCCTCGGACGTCTTCTGTCGGCGCAGCTTCCGCAGTCCTGCAGCGAGGACGGACGGCGGTATTAGCTGGTGGGGCATTTCAATTTAGCTGAGTGGTGGACTGGTGGTGTATCACACAACTGTACATCACGGCAGGTGTCGCAGCTTTACAGTGAGTGCAATAATTGAGTTCAACTTGTCCAAATTTACTCGCAATGTTCATAAACCTTTCATAGCGGCGTCAGAAAATCAGCTTTATTTTATCCTAATGCTATCTGAAGCCTCCTACCTTCTAGCATTGGCTTGCTCCGATCCTTGGTCTTCACCTTTTTCAATTTGACGCCCTGTCTAATCTCACTAAGCAGCTTTGCCGTTGCTGATGCTTCCTTTTCTGATTCAAATACGAACTGAAATGGAAAGACAGACACGCATCACGGAGCTGGAGGAGATACCATTACATTACGCAGCTACAACACAACAGTATCACTGCTCTGTATACCGTTTAAATTGATTACCATACCATATATAACACATCAAAAGCTCTCATTTGACGACCAAGTTCAACATTTTCCAGTTCAACATTTGATATCCATCAGCACATATCTGTCGTCAAAATCCTGTTCCTATTTGCTCACCTCGTTATCTTTCCGTTTGAGGTTTTTGACGATTGGAGCGCTGCGATCGTTACACTGGACTTTCTTCAGGGATTTCGGCTGGCTAATTTCCTTCATCATGGTGCTCCAGTCGGGTCGGCGGCGTGGCGTCTTCTTCAGCTTCTCCAGGCGCTCCTTCTGAGCGGCAGTCATCGGCTGCTTGCCTGCGGGAGAGACAAATTAGGTGACGGGCGAGCTGACAGCCGAGGTTAGAGATAAATTGGACCAGGAAAGTTGACAGACGACCTAAGCATTGTCGCCCTAATCGAGACTCGCAGACACCGTTGATGTGTCCATTATTTGCATATAGATCGAGTCCAACGACATGTTTTATTCTAAAATATGGTCTATACCTTATCAGGCTCTTGAATATTATGCATTATTATGCATGTTTTGTCAAACTCTAATGCATCACTGCAATCGAACTACTATCACTTGGAGCGTTGACCCTCACCTGGTAGAGGCGGCGGGGGCGGCGGAGCCCCTGCCGGTGGCGGCGGCGGGGGCGGGGGCGGGGGCGGGGGCGGGGGCGGCACCAGCTGGACCGTTTCTGTCCATGGCGCCGGCTTCTGTTCCGCAGCCTGCTCGGCCTTCGCCTTCGCTTCCAGTTCCTGCAGCTTGCTGAAGTCTGGAGATGTTAGTAAGTAGATTAGGAAAGTGACAGACCTTTCCTAAAGCAATCTCAACTCGCATATATGTACGATAGCTGACAGTAATCAGATCATCTAACATTCTGAAGCAAGCGAAGCCTCGAAACTCGAAACATACGAAAATAAACGGACGTCATTTACAAATCGAATAGCTGGGCTTTCAGTAGTCCAGCTATTCGGTAAAATACTTAATATTTAGTAGCCCAGCTATTAGGTATAACAGCGAATACCTGAACTTTTCGGTATCCACTCATGTCGTTACGACACATGGATGATGATTTCATTCCCTTTATTTTATGACCGATCATCTACCGTTTTTCTTTCTTGCTGGCTCCTATGTTCCCTCTCCTCCGGCTCATCTCCTCTCTCCATCCCTCTCCCCTATCCCCATCCCCCTCTCTATCCCTCACTGACCGAGTGATTTTCGTTTATCTGCCCAGTCGGGTGCCGATTTGTCGAAGCTCGCCATCTTGTCCAGCCGGTTCTGCCGCTCGAGGCGGCCCAATTTGGTGGCGTCCATCTTTTTCACGGTCCACTCGGGCTGGGCGGGTGTGGCCGGTATCCTCTCCTGGTGCTTCCGCTCCAGTTCCTCCAGCTTGTCGACGTCGACCGGCTTCGAAGCCCACTGCGGCTTGGCGCTGCTCTCGCCGGTGAGAAGGATATGGAACGGCGTGAGAACGAGGTGTAACAGCTCGTGAAAATGTGACTCGAGAGCGGCGTAAAACAAAGCGAGAATATGACGTGCGAATGACACGTATTTAGTATCGTGTAAATAAGGCTCTTTGAAAGACGTGAAACAGCTGTGGTGTTTATCATTATCGGCTGACTCAAGTTCCCCTTTTACTCTGGTGAGGCCGGATCTTAGGTGCTCAGTGAAGGAGCCTAAATCATTGCTGAAACTAGAAAACAAGTATCCGGACCTCGCCGACCCGATCACTACTAGGCATGTCCAAACTCAAATCCTCCCCTGCAGCAGCCCTTAGAGCTGCGCGTCTGTGGCGTTTGGCGGCTGTTTACGTGATGACGTCACTGACCTGCTGTTGGCCGCCGGCTTCTGGGGCGTCACCGGCACATCGCCCAGCCGGCGCTTGGCGTCATCGGCCCAGGGCGGCCGCGCCGGCGGCTCGGACGGCGGCGCCTGCGTCACCGACCCCTTGCGCTCCACCTTTTTCAGCTTGGGCTTGCGCCAGGGCACCGGATCGGCCTCGACGGGCATGGCTGGACGGCCGGGGGTTGGGCGGGGGGCGGCCGGCGGCGGCGGGGGCGGAGGGGGCTCCTCCTCACTCTCCTCCTCCTTCTCACTCTCCTCCCCGCTCTCCTCCTCGGAGCTGATCTCGAACCGGACGAAGTGCACCTTCTCGCCGGGCGGGCCCGACGGCGGCCGGTTCACCGAAGACCTGTCGCAGACGGCGGGTCAGACGGAGCGACACACAGGCTCATCAGTGCTTCCCGGAGCCTGGGCGGAACACAGTCCAGACAGGAGGAAAGGGGTGGGGGCAGGTCGACCGGCAGCCGTCTGTGACGCATTGTTGGGAGTTGGGTAGACTACTGAGTGGATGTCAGCGCTATACTCGTAACTATCAGTAAAATTAACTATGAATAAATAAATTTTATCGACTTACGCAGGGAGAGAGAGAGAGAGAGAGAGAGAGAGGAGAGAGAGAGAGAGGAGAGAGGGAGAGAGAGAGGAGGAGAGGAGAGAGGAGAGAGGAGCGAGAGAGGAGAGAGAGGAGAGAGAGAGGAGGCGAGAGAGAGAGAGAGAGAGAGAGAGAGAGGAGAGAGGAGAGGAGAGAGAGAGAGAGAGAGAGAGGAGGACGAGAGAGAGAGAGGAGAGAGAGAGGAGAGAGAGAGGAGAGAGAGAGAGAGAGGAGAGAGAGAGAGAGAGAGAGTTGATGTATAGACCGGCGGTAGGTGAGCGGTCTGATTGATTGATTGTGACTGAAATAAATTTAGATATAGTTCCGATTTGGCTGTGACCTCAACTCCTCTCCTACCCGAAACGGTCGCTGTGCTCATAGAGGGAGAGAAGGAAGGGAGGAGGGGTTAGTCGAATTACAAGGCCCGACGACGGCAGGCTTCGGTCACCAGACCGCGAAAGTTGTAATCACTGCTGAGTGCTGAACTTTGTTGCTATCCTGTAGTAGAATATATAATAGGCAATAACTACCTGATATTTTTCTATTTTAAAGGAAAAGGGCCACCTTTAACATGGGGATTGAAACTGAGATAGCCATCTTGTAGCTCGTGTCCGAAAACCTGGCTGTCTACCTCCTTACGGCCGATTTCGGCCTCCATTCGTAGTTATCGGCAATTTTAAAAGAAAATACGCCAGGAATGCGTCCTTATCCCAGGAATGCGTTCTTATCCGACAATACAGCCACCCGCGGCGAGGCTTTGGTTTTTTACCAATCAGCTCCAACCAGCTCAGCTTTAACCAATCAGCTTATCTGACACAATCCGACGAGTCTGTCTTCTGAACGCTGATTGGCTTGAGTGTGACGTCATCGCTATGCCATCATACAGTAGGTGCCGTAGAGAGTATCAACATAGTACCAATATGTTAAATAGTTTTAAATACTTTTTCGCGAATTGTGCACTTCTGGCACCAGTTTTAAAAAGAAAATGAAAAATAATAATGTCAAAATGAAAAACAACGATATCTTCATATTTCACGAAGGTGGCCCTTTTCCTTTAAACAAAGCGAAGCGACCAAAATCAATTATGAGATGGTAAATGAAGGTTTCTGAGTAGGCAGCGCACAAAGTGCAACGGTGTCCTTGTGTCACATGATACCAGCTGCCGCTCGCGGCAAATTGAAGCGGTTTTGTGCGTTTGGGAGCCGCGTGGTACAGCCTTTGACTGCGGTCACTTCAATGATATCGGGTTCGCTGGTGCACCGCCGGCGCGTGTGTTCAGTTCACCCGCCCGAGCTCGAGGATGCAGAGGCGGCTGGCTCCGCTCCAAGCAACTGAGTCGCCGGAGAGAGGGTGGGCGTGCCGGGGAGAGCGTGGGAGAGTGGGGAGGAGTGACGTATCCCAGCGGTGTCATGGGGTTCGTGGCTCGCTGGTGTAGGCGGAAAGACGAGAATATGCTTCCTCTCATTCATGAAGTTTTTTATAGTTCAGTTAGTGGTATGATCACGTAGTTAAATGCTATTCAAAATCGATCCATAAAGATTTTGGCTTGATGGTGAACTTGAAATGGTGATAAATTTGTATTGAATAAAGTGGTGCACTTTCAAACACATAGTTCCGATAAAAACGCAAATTAATGATATATCGTTTTCATTCTTTTGGATAACTTCTAGTATGTCATATCATCGGTAATAGGTCCGATGTCGCTGTGTTGGTTTGTTGATACCGAACGCCCGTCGTATGCTCATTCATTCAGTCATTGAGTAAGCCATCCAGGTCTTATTTCCCCTGATTGACAGCCAGCAGCTAATGGCCGAGACGAAAACGGTCCGTCCCGATCCGTCCCGGTTCCACCCGCGCACGGTCTTGCATACACACATTCACATATGACGTATCCGGATAGTAGATAGGTACATACTTACATTCAACACGGAGTAGTCTGAATGTCCTGCATGCGCTTCTGTAAAGAGTAGGAGCTGGACTGGACTGGAGCTGGACATTGCTGGACGGGAAGCGCTTGGTCATGTGGCTTTATAATCTGCTCCTTAAAAAGCTATGTAGTCGTCGTTCTGACAGCACGCAGCACAAAATTTGAAACCTTTTATAGCTTGTGCTTTTGTCCTACCCTTGTTTGTTGTTGAAGTGTCTATGGTGAGAATGACAAAGAGAAACTAACACAAATGAAATAGACGATCATGTAGCCACTCATTTCTGTCAACTGCCAAACGGTCCAAACAATGACCGGGGTGAAAACAATGTTATTGCACTACCGTGTATCATTGTATGTATTCCGGTTATGTAGAGCCAAGTATCCGTCCTAAGAAAAACCTGAAACAACACATGCGCAGTCATCCGCAAGCACTAATGTGTATTTCAAAAAGATGAATTGTTCACCTGTTCACTAAAAGCACCAAGCTGTGTCTCACACTTCTACTCGTCTAATATCCCTAAATACGATAGTCAAAAGTGGCACACCGGGAGCAAAATTGCTGCTTACAGGCGTTGGGAAGGAGCGGCGAGTGTTATAGAAGCTGGGCGTTTGGCGGCCGGCGCGCACACAGCCGCTGCCGGCGACCAAAACGTTAGCGCTGCTCCGGCCTCCTGCTAGAGGCCAGCGCTGGGGCGTACATACATTTCGGCTCCGCTTCGGTCCCTGCTCGTCACCCTCGGACCGTCTCGGCACCCACTGCTCGCACTCCTCTCAGTCCTCCCAGTCCTCTCAGTCCTCACTGCGCTCCGAGGACCGCTGCCGTTCCCACTCCAGTTCACAGGTCTCCGCGTCCCACGGCTCCCGCCTCACTGGACGCGGCCGGCTGGACGCGCGGGCAGCGCTGGAGCCGCCGCCCGTCACCGTTGGCACCGCACCTGCTTTCCTTGGCGGCCGCCCCGCCAGGACGGCGGCGGAGGCGGTGCAGGGTCAGACTCCAGATCTTCCCGGAGCGGAGCGATCGACTGACCGGTCGGCCACCTCCACGGCTGTGATCCGTGTGGACCCGCTGTGTCCCAGCCTGACCCTCACTGACCTCAGAGAGGAGCCCGTGTCAGGTCAGGTCAGAGATCCCCAGCCTGTCCCAGCTCCGGTCGCTCCAGAGCTCTGAAAATAGCGCCGTGACGTCACCGGCCGCCCAGTCTGGATGGGTGCCCGCGCCGGCGGCAGGTCGGCGGAGCCCCCTGTTTACCGGGCCACTCTCACCCACGCTCAGTTGAATGTCACCGGACGAACGCCTGAGCGCGGACGGGAAAACGGTGAATAACGCAGCTAAAACGGTCTAATTGAATTGAAGTGATAACACTTCTTGATCAGCATACTCCAGCAATTATTTATATAGTAGATTATCATGATTTAGCAGCTTTCACCCATCTGCCAGGCGCTGGCATTCTGTTCTGTAATCTAACAATTTTTCTCATCATTATTTCATTCCAATTTCTCCCTGAAGTCATGCTAATCGAATCGGCGCCACCCAAACCAGTATATCGACCTTGCCACGTCCCGTGTACCTATAACCGCCTCCATCTGTGGGTCAATATCTATCGTTGCGTCGACGAGAGCGCGATGAAAAGATAGAACAACAGCTGCGTGTAAAGGCGGTATGTAATGATGCTCTCCCAATGAAATGTGTCCATCAAAAGGCCTCTGATGAAGGATTGCTAAAAGAGACGAAAATAAGCCCGAGGCACGGATCTCGACTATCATCTTTCAGGTCGGATAACACCAGACAAGTTTCCCTTTCAAAGTGTGGAGAGACATTGCGGGAGAAGAGAACTAGGGATAGCCTCAGAAAGTATATATGCACCACACTGGTTGTCGGCTCCCATCAGCTCCTGGTGCCTCAGACGTCGGAGTATAATGGCTCAGCACATAATAGTTTGATTGCGATTGCTCAGTTTTCTGTTAGTATAAATGTGCATTTTTGTCACATTGGACTATTGATAACTCATTGTTTCCTGCTAAAATTGTATTTGTCTTCGTAAGCGATAGATTGCATACTTGACTATCAAACCTAACATCTGTGAGCAGTGAGCACGGTTAGCCCTACTAGACTTCACAGAGCACGTCATGTTTTTGGGCTTTGAGCGCACAATTTATCATTACCATGCTCGTGTCTTTAAAGCGGTGACTTTTATCCAGTTTATCAGCATATCATAAATTTTGGACTAATTGAACCGCTTAGTTGACAGCGTGCCCATTGACCATTTCGCACCAATCTGTTCCGGCCAATGAAGAAGGATAATGCCGATTCCCCGTTATCGGCAAGCCTCAGCGGTTATCAGGGAATATCCGGCACGTCTCAGGCATCAGTGTGTCAGCCTTGGATCCCGTCTCATCTTCATACCACCCCATTCGTCACCAAACTATGTCACCAATCTGTCATTAACCATGCCGTCCTCAATCAGCCCGCCCCAGCCCCTCCCAATCTATCACATGTCGGCTATCTCTCTAGGTATACATGTTATGTACATACAATGTAGCACTGCACTGAATGCGTCACTGTGTACTCAGGGCGGCCCTGAGAGCGGCTCCACGGGCGTATCGCTGCCGTAAGTACGACACACCGGGGGGAGGGCTGTGTCCAGTGTCTCTCGCCACAGCAGCCTCCCTGCCGGCCCGGGTCCGTCGCCAGTCGCTACCCCAGACGCCCCTCGTCCCCGGCAGCTGGATCCTCCAGATGGACGAAAAACAGATGTGTCCTGTCTGTGTGTCAGTCTGCCGGCCGGCCGCCGCTGTCGGCAGGGCGGCACGGCCGGGTACTGGGCACTGATAATCGCAGAGGCGCTCGGCAGTCGTGGCGCCCGGTCAGAGGACAGACTAGTGCGTGACCGCCGGCCGGCAGAGCGGTGTCGTGTAGATCGGTGACCGGTCACGGTCGGTGTCCTGGACTCATAAGGTGTCCTCAGTTGAGTGTTCTTCTCTGGGTGTTCTGGTGGGTTTCGCTCTGTGTTACGATGGACCGACTGGGGGCGTGTAGTGCCCTATCGGTGGTCCTGATACTGTCTACCGCCGTAGTGGCTGCAGGTGAGCTGTGCTGCAACTCAGCGCAAGGAGTACAGCCCAACGATGCTTGTGGTTTCGATCGCACAATGATACTTGTGTTACATAATTATATTGTCGAGTGCTCGATCCCTTGGGGACGTTACGTTGAATATAATTCTGACAGAAAGAATGCAAATAGGTACTAATGGAGCTGTATCTAAAACAATGACAGGCTGTGACTGAGCTGATATAAACTGGTAGTAATTAGCAGGATTCGAATTTCCCTGTCCGCTTTCACTTTGCCTTTCATGGACCGTTCTTTGTTTATGAAACAGCGTTTACCCTAAAAACAAGGAGCACACTACTTGTGCGTGGCCAGTATTGTCATATGCTTTAGCTACAGTTAGCTACGTATGGTATGTGAAAAGTTGCAGAAATACTACTGGATTTAGTACCTACATCCCATTAGGTATTCAGCTTGAGTAATTGACGAGGGAAGTTAAATCGTCAAAAAACTATCTCAACCCTCACCGGACCGGCCTGCTCGGCGCCAACCGCGCTATGCCGGGAGTGTTTGAACCCCCCCCCCCCCCAAACTGGGTTCCTGGGAGACGTATCGATACGCGGTAAGCGGCATTCGAAAGAGCTTCATAAATCGTGACGAGAATAGTTGGGTTATTTTTTAGGTCAGGTCAAACGTCAGGTCACCAGAAGTCATTAAGGGTCAAACTTTGCCTATTTCAACATTTTTTTTTTAACAAATAGGTGCATTCTTCGAAAGCCAGTAGAGCTAAAGCCCCGCAGAAAGCGCATTCGATAGTTCTTTTAGCACTCTTTCCTAAAAAGGCTCTCAGATTCGATCCAAGAAGATCGTTGGCAAAAACTCTTAACGGAAAATGTTTTTTTTTTCTGTAACCACTTTTGAATCCAGAAAGACACCAGGGACGTAGCCAAGAGGGGGGAGCACGGGGGCCATCCCCCTCTGAAGGTGAAAAATAAAGCAACATTGAATAATAAAATAAATAGTAAATAAAAACAGCTGCAATACACCCCTAAAAATAGTGGGCCAAAACCGAGGAGTTTTCCGTTTTTGGAGGGGGTACGACCCTGGCCGCGACCTGTGGCCCCTCCCTGAGCAAAATCCTGGCTACGTGCCTGAAAGGCACGACATTGCTTTTGCTATCACCATGTTCCTCTCGTCGAGTCGCGTCGAATGCATTATAATTTGACCTTAAAGGTCATTTTGAAAATTTGACCTAAGGTCAAGGTCACGCTGCATATCAGTCCATCGTATCGTCGATCTGAACACTTCTTAGGTGTTTTCATCAATCTAGCATGTCTCTAAACGTTTGTTCAGTCAGTGTAGCTTTGGTGAGCATTCTATTTTTTCTGAGGTAAGGTCACCTGACGTGACCTGGTGACCTCACCTTGAGCGACCTGGGTCGGAAGTTCTCACATGTGCCAAAAAGATGCATAAACAGGTTTGTCATTTTGTTAGATATCCGCGAGAAAAAAGCACGACGGGATTTTTCACGCATTGCGGCCCGACGCGGGTTTATGCATTGTTTTTATCCGTCATTTGCTTACAAGAATCATTACTAACAATGCTGCGCACCAGGACGCCCAACGGAGACACGTCTTTTTGTTTTAATATCATGAACCAGACCACCTCCTGCTGTGTCATGGATCACGCGTGGACAGCCCAGCCGTCCGCGCCGCGCAGTGCGCACTACACTGCAGTATGCTATCAGTGTCCTGCTCCCCCCCCCCACCCCCCAGGCAGGACCTAGTACGGACAGCACCAGAGTAGCACTTGTACCCCCCCCCCCCCGCTCCCTCCGACCCAGGCCGGAAGGCTGGCGACAACCTTCCGTCCTGTCTTGTCCCCTGTCTGTCCCTACGACGTGGGTCCTTGTCCTGGGCTACTGCGGGGCTCAGCGGTCATAATTCCCTCAGCATCCGGCCTCTGAAACGTAAACAGACGACTCACAGCCAGCAATTAGTTCCCTGGAGCTGGTTAACAAATTTAAAAGAAAACAAAGCAGTACAAGCGTTACATGGATAATTATTAGGGATTTTTGTTTAGTTCTAGACGAGTTTGTTGAATGTTCGGAAAAACGGCGGAAAAATTAACAGTTTTATAAGCATTCCTTCCGTCACATGTCTAATCTATTATCCAATATCTAGCCTTTCCTGATCTGACCAGTAAGCGCATGTCAACTGACCCTTTCCTGACCTGAGCTTCCCCTCGCCTCTCGTTCGGCACCGGCAGGCACGCCGCACTGTCCGGCCGGCTGGAGCGAGGGCGGTTTCTGGTGTTACCTGCTGAACACCACCAGCACCCTCAGCTGGGCCGGCGCTCAGGCGCTCTGCTCCGAGAACAACGGGAGACTAGTGGAGCTGCCCGATCGCGCCCACCAGCTGGATGTGCTGGACCTGGTCAGAGGTGAGAGCCGGTCTGCTGGGTCAGCGGAGAGACGGGGTCGGGTCAGGGGAGGGGTCGAAACTGGGTGATGGCTGGGCAATAGGCATGGGGTTCTGGGTCTGTATGAGGATAAGTTGATGATGAGGTATAAAATAGGCGCTAACTTCCTTGTTGCTGACGATATGTGTTAAGTCTACACCACGGCTCAGCGCGCTCTACAAATGTCCAATTTATCATTCTTGCTATTACTTTGTTCATGTTTTTCTTCTTATCACTATTTTCAACAGTCAATCATGTGTCCGAGTGGTGGATTGGAGTACGAAAATCGCCAGACACGACACAGCAAGAGCATGTCAGTGTGGCGATGCTGATGGACAACTTCGGAGAAGAAAAGGGACCTTCCGGCTCCGGTAAATGCTTAGCGCTCTAAGCTTCTATCCTATCTCAGACATTTCTTTTTTTCGATCGATGACTGATCGAATCCGATGAGATGCATTGGATTACCATTCAGTCGATCAAGGATTTATCGAGCTTGAAATATTAGACCTATAAAACGTAGGTATTATCACTTATCAGCCTAAAAGTAGGTAAGCTCCATTTAATGGACAGATGCCCATTGCCATCGCTATGTCTATAACAAGCTAAGCTGGTTCATTGAAAAAGTGCATGCTGGACGAACAAATTTATTTCAATTCTGTATGACGCATAGCTTGAACTGCAAATAATACGTATTCAACTAAAGTGATAATACTTCGTCCCAAAATGTTCCTGGCCTGATTCGGCCGTCCGTTTCAGGTGGCGAGTACCAGTGTGCCTTCCTGTCCGGACGCGATGGGTTCTGGTATTGGCGCTCCTGCGATACGGCGATGCACTACATCTGCCAGAGGCCGGCCCATCGTGTTCCCATCCAACTGGTACGGGGTGGAGGAGAGCGGAACAGTGTGCTAGAAGTACACTGTGCACTATGCACTGTTTGTGCACTGTGCATACTGTAAGTGTTCACCTATTGCTAGGAGACCATTATGCCAACATTCATTAAGTATAGCTCGATAAATGCCTATGGCTGTATATAGTAAAACAAGACGATAGCCATTAGCCATTTGCCATTTCTCATTTGCCAACACCTACTCGTATGCTAGTATGCAATGCACGTCTCATTCTCTCGATTTGTTTCCCAAAGCTGTCATCTGATATCACCAGTAGCACTACCTGAAGTTGACACTCAAGTGACCTATGATATTGTGAGAAATCCTGCGATATAAATTATCTACAGGGTGTTTCACTAAAAGTGTCAAAAAGTAAATTCCCATTAAAGTTATATAAAATATGCAAATCACGTGGTTGCGCACGTGGCTTTGTTGCAAATTTTTGGACATTTATGCTTTGTCCATTTAAGATATATTTTACACTCATACGGAGCGAGGGCAGGAGGCCAAAGTTACTAGTCGTTTTTTTCCTTATGCAGAACAAGAACAGGTTATTTACACCGCAACAGGAGGGGTGAATTACACTTACCTTTGGTGCCATCAGAAACATCGAAACCGTATGCCGACTTTTCAGGAAACGTTTTATTATCTCACTTCGCTACGTTCCAGATTATAAAAGGTTCAAAGGGCTTCTTGAGATTTAAAAGGGTTCCTTCGGTGCCGGTCCCAGTCCAAAAAGGCGGGGTCCCCCACCTCTCGGCGGAAACCGTTGAAAAGGTCAGGGTCTTTTTGAGGGTCTTTGAAGATAACAAGAAGCTAATTTCAACATTAGAAATAGCCAAGGCCTTACAAGTTATCAAAAACAGCCACTATAATGGCTGTAACCACCAGGAACTGGCTGGATTAGAAGTTCCTGCGCCGAAAAATCAGCTGCCTCGTCACCCGCCTCTGGCCAGCGCGAAGCCCCGATCCGTCACCGCTTTACTTTTGGTTTTTGTCAGTAGCTCTCGCAGAGCCGAGGAAGACTCAAGAAGTCGCATCACTTCGGGAGCTGAAGAGCACCATTCAAGGCTTTGCCGACAGTCTGGACGCTGAAGATGAAAACGGGCTGTGAGGCACCTCCGGACACGTGCCGAAACGGTGCATCAAAAGAAGGGGCGGATATGTGGAATAGGTTTGAGTGACGGTGCTATCGTTTTTATATATTCAAATGTCCAACAATTGCGGATGAAATGGTATGCAAATTTCCGTAGAAAACATTGTTATTATGTGCACTATGACCTTTTACTTTTTGACACTTTTAGTGAAACACCCTAGCCTTCTGGTTCCCTCTATTCCGCCTTCCCACTGCACCGATCCGCTCACTCAAGGGGGGGGATTGGGGGGGGGGGGGTGGAACGGCGTGTTTCCGCCCTCACAGACATCTGATCAAAGGGCCGGTTCACCGCCGTGCCGCTCAGAACTGCGCCGGAATGTCAGCTGCTGTGAGGCTTCTGAGTTGGGTAACGCGGTATGATGTGACCAGCTGCACTCGAAAATTATGCCGTCTTTATTGGTAAATCCACGTCCATTGCTGCCTTATTATGTCATATTTCCAACGTCGTCTCCAAAAATAAAAAAGACGTTAAAAAATTGAATGAGATGTGCTGACTGCTGGTGTTCAAGTCGCACGAGTCGACCCCTGTCCTGAACTTCAGCTGCCCTGTAAACTGACCTGACCTGTACCATTCCGCAGTGACCCTGCACCCTATTGTGACCGTGTGACCTGCAGTGAACCCGTGACCTTTGGTGATCCCGTGACCTTTGGTGATCCCCGTGACCTTTTGTGACCCCCGTGACCTTTGGTGACCCCAGTGACCTTCCGTGACCCCGTGACCTCTTTCGGTCACCAGGTGTCACCAGAGCGAATCCGTCCTAGCTCTGTCTGGTTCAACGCTCACGGCCGACCGCTGGAGATTGCTCTCCACGAGAGCCTGGAGAGCGAGCCGACCCACGACGACAAGGGCGAGTATTCCGCCTCCAAAGCCACGATGAGGCCCCTACCGCCGCCCACAAGTACGACCCTGGCGCCGCCCGTGGTGGCGACTTCAGCGGGGTCGCCACCAGAGGTCACCACCGTCAGCCTGTGCCAGGGACAGCATTGGCTAATGCTGGATGCTACCTGTTACCAGGTTAGCACTGACGGACAGTGACCCGTGACCGTTAACAGGCCCTAAAGCGGGACGGGGCGAGTCGAATGACACACCCTTTTCTGTCATCAAAGAGTTGTCAGAGTTAATAGTATTGTGGTTGGGGATGTGAGGTGAGGTCAGAGCTTCATAGATGCCTTGAAATTTGAAACGTTGCTCACCATTTTATACCACATTTATTTAACAAGTTGAGGCTCACAGTACAATTTTGACGGGTGCATTTATGGCGAGAGCTTGTGATAGGCATATTCAGTATCACAAAGCACGCGAACTTATTTGGTATAACGTCACTGCATTTTGCCGTAGGCTTTAGAAGAAATTCAGTCCAGTTTTCTGTTTAGGTCCTTTGACGGTGTTGGCTGCCCCATACAAATCAAATTGAGTTCCCTGAATTGGGGTCTCCGTTGTCTGGAGTCTGTAGCCCAAAGTTTGAGCAGTTACTGCAGCACAGAGCGTAAAGTCGGCAACCCCGAGTATGAAGAGTCTGTTGTTTAAAATCTGAAGAGTATTCCAAAGTCCAGGGTTTCCATCCACGGCGCGTTGAGTGTTGTTCCCGACCTGTTGCAGCTGGTGCTGGACGCCGTCAATTGGACGCTGGCCTCTCAGAGATGTAGGGAGCAGGGCGGACGGCTCGCCACCTTCCGCACCGCCGACATCCAGCGCAGCTTCGTGTGAGCGCTGACTGCAGACTTTCTGTGTTGTCCTCTCGTTATGAGAAAGGGAGAAGGGGAGTCTGACTGTTGTCGCTGACGAGGGAAACTAATATTTTGTGAGGCCATGAATTGATATTTGTTTGTCTGGGAGCAACTCCTCTTGAGCTCACGAGTCACGTTGTAACTAAAGATGTTCTCTTGGTACTATTTTCCCAAATCGAGTCTTACTTCGTAGCCAAACTTTTGTAGTTAGTTCTGTTGAGCGTCGATGTCATGGCCCGGTTTAGCCAACTCTTCGACTCGGTCTGGCTCGATATATGGTCAATTTATGCCTTGATGTGTTGCAAAGCCCGGTTCGATCACTTTTTTGGTTCGGTATGGTTCGTTGCCTGTTGTATGTGCTACGTTTTATAGGGTCTGGTTCGGTGTGGTTCGTTACCTGCAATGTGTGTTACAGGTCCCGGTTCAGCCACCTCTCCGGCTCAGTCTGGTTCGGTCTGTGGTCTGTTACGGGTCCTGGTTCAGCCATCTCTCCGGTTCGGTCTGGTTCGGTCTGTGGTCTGTTACAGGTCCCGGTTCAGCCACTTCTCCGGCTCAGTCTGGTTCGGTCTGTGGTCTGTTACGGGTCCCGGTTCAGCCACCTCGTTACCTGTTGTTACGTGTTACAGGTCCCGGTTCAGCCACCTCTCCGGTTCGGTCTGGTTCGTTACCTGTTGTTACGTGTTACAGGTCCCGGTTCAGCCACCTCTCCGGTTCGGTCTGGTTCGTTACCTGTTGTTACGTGTTACAGGTCCCGGTTCAGCCACCTCTCCGGTTCGGTCTGGTTCGGTCTGCGCCGGGAGGCGGACGGGGAGGTCTCCTGGGTGGACGGCTCCAGTCCCGGGTACAGTGGCTGGCCGCCCGGTCAGCCACGCAACCCGGCGCCCACGGCCGCCTGTGGGGCCCTCACACTGCACACGGTACGGAAACGGAACGGACAGACACCACGGACGACATATCTCATAGTAACCATGCGACTGGCACCAGTCTCGCTTTGCACACGCCACAAAACTGACGTTCAGCATGTGGGCTAAGTGTTGCATTATACGTACTTAGCGAACCGTATATATTTGTGTTACAAATCTATTGCGCCAGTAGTGTGAAAATGTATCTCTAGCATGCCCGTATATTGATTTCGCACACCGTTTCTTTATACCTTATGCTAAATCGTTCACTGAATACGCGTTACTCGGCAATAAATAATAAGCATCAGTGACTGTCTCACAAGAAGACCAAACTCCGGTTACAAGGCAGGGATCCGGGAGCTTTCTGGGTATGAGTATTAATACGTTAATGTGCCTCCGTCACTCAATGTCAAACCTCTGGAAATTGCCGCGCTGCCAGGGAGCGTGGACCAACCAGGCGTGTTCGGCATACAAACCGTTCGTGTGCCGGAGGTCTCTGGATGCCACGTCGATGGCCACCACCCCGACCACCGTGCCTACCACCACAGGTGAGCCGCAGAGCCGAGGACAATAACTGCCACTGTGTGGGGCTTGTGCAATGTACTTACATCGAAGAGTGCAATGCTATAAACTATGAATGACAGAAAATGACGGATCTGTGTATGTTTTTGGGTGTTTGTGTGTTTGTTTGTATCACTGACCGATGTTTGTGTGTTGCAGCTCCCTCGGAGTGCGGCGCCGGCGACTGGTGGCGGTACGGACAGTGATGTTTGTGTGTTTGTGTCACTGACCGCTGTTGGTGTGTCTGTTTCAGCACCCTCGGAGTGCGGCGCCGCCGGCTGGTGGCGCTACAGGCAGTGGTGTTTCCTGCTCGTCACCGACCGACCCGCTGTCGGCTGGCAGGCCGCCCGGGACGACTGCAGGAGCCGCGCCGCAGACCTGGTCAAAATCGAGGACGGCATGGAGAACGCCAACGTCTTCCACAGGGTGCGCCGTCAGTTACAACGCCGGGTCTGCGAGCGACCATTTAATGTTTCTTTCTACTCGTTATTGTGGCCTGCGTGACCCCCAGTGACCTCCAGTGACTTTGTGAATCTCAATTGAACCATCAGCGACCTCAGTGACCACTGGTAACCCTTAGTAGTCCGCAATGATCCTCAGTGACCCCGGTGACCCTCGATGACTCTCAGCGACCTCAGTGACCCCGGTGACGCTCAGTGACACTGAACGACCTTAGTGACCACCGGTGACCCTCAGTGACCCTCAGTGACCCTCAGTGACCCTCAGTGACCCCGACCGCCGCCCGCCGTCCACAGGTGACCCAGAGTAACCTTCCCGTGTGGCTGGGTCTCAGTCCGCCGCCAGCGACCCCACCGCTATGTCTGGACGGACGGGTCGACTCCCAGCTTCACCTCCTGGGAGCACGGCAGAAACAACTATGGCAGGTCGGTGAAGGCAGATAGCATCCACATCGGCAAATAATGGCCTTATCATTATTTGCCATTAACTTAAAACTGAAAACTAAACTCATTTAAAATCCATAATTAATGTCAGCTCTAATTATCTATGTAAATCAGAAACTTTATCTGCTTTTTATCTGTTTTACCTCGGACATTAGCTACGCTGTTCGCACCAACTGTATTATGTATGCTGATGACGTGAAGCTTTACCACCGCGTGAAAAGTGCCGCCGATGCCGACGCCCTCCAGGCTGACCTGAACCGGCTCACCGAGTGGTCGCACATCTGGCGATTGAAACTTAACCCGACAAAGTGTCACACGATCTCTTTTACTTTGCGTAAATCGCCTGTTGTCCACAACTATTCACTGAACGGGACTGTCTTGGAACGCCGTCAAGAGACACGCGATTTAGGGGTCATACTTGACGCTAAACTCACGTTCGCCTCGCACGTGGATTCGACAGTGTCCAAGGCGAACCGGATGTTGGGCCTTCTCATCCGCAGTATGCAGCTGCCGAGACTTCGGCGTAGCTCACGCTTAGACCACCGGGCCCTGATATGCGCGTACAACGCACATGTTCGGTCTCTGCTCGAGTACGGCAGCGTAGTATGGTCAGGCACTGCTGATACCCATCTGAAACGTCTCGAGCGAGTCCAGCATAGGTTCCTCACGTGGCTGGCGTTCCGATCGGACCGGCCCAGCGTTGACCTGAGCTACGGGGCGCTTTTAGCTCATTTTAACATGTGCTCAGTTAAAGCTAGATTTATCCAGCATGACGTCATGTTTTTGTACAATGTGCATCACGGCCGCATTGACTGCCCCGATCTTGTATCGATGTTTGGCCTGTACGTGCCACCCCGATCAACTCGCAATCTTTCTCTCTGGGCCACACCTTTTGCCAGGGTCAACACTGTCCTTCGCAGCCTCCTCTCCCGAGTACCGGCACATACCAACTCCTTTCTCAGATCCTGTTCATCTGCTGATTTCTTCACCTCCACTCACAACTCCTTCTTGACTGGCGTTCGAACTTTCGCGAGTCGAGGTGGCACGTATTTGTAGGAAGCCGACCTGCACTAGCCGTGACTCAGTGCAATACTTTCTTTGTTTTTATTTTATCCCATGTGTCAGTGTGTAATTGTATGTATGTATGTATAGTTGTATTTTGACAAGCGCTGCGCTGGTTTTATGTCGTGACTGCACCTATTATTGGGCACGATGCCTGTTGGTGTTCTGGTGAATAAACATAAACATAAACATAAACATAAACTCAAAAAATCAACTTCTAGACCGGATCGGTTATACCAGCTTAGTGATGCCTATTATTGTAGGTTTTAATCTAGTAACTGATATAGGTTTTGTTCTAATAAGCACCACGACTCTTCGCTAAATCCGCTGGACGACGTTGGTGACGTCAGTAGATTTCGAAGACATCCAAAAATAAGGCCCCCAGCACAGATCAACTCGATCAAATGCATCCTCAAGGCTCAACCCTAGAAAAGCTTCGTGCGTATAGCTCTTCACACGCTGATTGCCCTATATACATAATATGTATGTATGTAGTCATCTAGCATGCCTCTGGCGCTGCTGGCTAATTTAACGTGGGCTGTGGGCTGATCGGATTATACCTGGCCTCTGACTCAGATATCAGATTAAACCTCACCTCCGACTGCTTTGTCGTCATCGGGTCACATACCGTAAGATAGCAGTAGGTAACTGGGGAATGTTTGCTCAATTCGATGCCGTCTTCTAAAGTAAACTAGCTACCTCAAGTGCTACTCACAGTAGCTTCCATTCGACGTTCAGAGCCAACTGACCCTCTTTCTCTTTCTCTTTCTCTTTCTCTTTCTCTTTCTCTTTCTCTTTCTCTTCCTCTTTCTCTTTCTCTTTCTCTTTCTCTTTCCCTTTCTCTTTCTCTTTCTCTTCCTCTTTCTCTTTCTCTTTCTCTTTCTCTTTCTCTTTCTCTTTCTCTTTCTCTTTCTCTTTCTCTTTCTCTTTCTCTTTCTCTTTCTCTTTCTCTTTCTCTTTCTCTTTCTCTTTCTCTTTCTCTTTCTCTTTCTCTTTCTCTTTCTCTTTCTCTTTCTCTTTCTCTTTCTCTTTCTCTTTCTCTTTCTCTTTCTCTTTCTCTTTCTCTTTCTCTTCTCTCTCTCTCTCTCTCTCTCTCTCTCTCTCTCTCTCTCTCTCTCTCTCTCTCTCTCTCTCTCTCTCTCTCTCTCTCTCTCTCTCTCTCCCTCCTCTCTTCTCCCTCCAGACCTATCCAGCTGCGTGCGAATGGACAACGAGCACGGCTCATGGCGGGCGGTAAACTGCAACTCGCCTCAGTTCTACGTCTGTCAGAGGTCGCTGGACGAGACCGTGACCCCTGCGCCGGCCACCACCCCCCAGCCGCCCTCCAGAGGTGTCTGCCCGGAGGGCTGGGCCCGATACGGTCCGGACAGATGTCTGCTGGTCTCTGATCGACTGGCAGACTGGGCGGACGCCCGGAGAACGTGTCAGAACGAGGCGCCCGACGGAGAACTGGTGACCATCGGCGACCCCATACAGCAGGGTGAGTGCCTGTTGATACAGCAAAGTAAGCCCTAACCCATCAAGGCTGCCGAAGAACAGCATTAATTCTGGTACGGTCAGTCATTGAGTCGTGATATGTGCGGACCGGTCCAATTCCCCCAAACAGGCAGTTCGGGTCCGGACTGTGCTGTCTGCACTGCGCAACAGGTCCACCTGTTCACCAGCACTGTGTTTGAACATCCAGTGTAATAAATCACCCATGAACGTCCAGTAAATAGTCCTCGCCTTAGATCTCCCGCTGTAGCTCTCCCGAGGACGGCTTCCCGACCGACTGCTGGGGCATTCCACGATAGATCGTACCACTTTTTTCCAATTTGACACCCTCATCTCTCGGATTTTAACGATAATTGGTCTAAGGGGTAATCAGGGGCTCTGAATCCTCCTGTGACAATTTCAGGCTAATCAGATGAGTAATTTTTGAGTTATAATGTATAACATGTTTTGGATCTTGCGTTGCAGCGCCAAGTTTGGCGGGCTGTAACTCTTAGACGGATAATCCAAATGCCAAATGCTATACGACATTGAACTTGCATTGAAACAAAGAATAATATGCATTTTTTAATTTTTGAAATATAAACTATTTTTGATATATAACACATCGAGTTTCCTTTCATTTGCATTTTTATGCCTTTGGGACCAAATTTTTTGGTATTTTCATTTACTTGAAAAGTTTTTTGGATCATTATTAAGTAGTATGCAAAAAATTAGGAAGGTGTTCTTTCTATAAATGTACTTATTTTGCGTCACCGTAATGGTCTCGAATTGTGATTTCGGAAAGAGAGCCTACAAATGGCGTGGTAAAGCTGCCTAGTGACATTACTGGTTACTGAAAGTCCAATTGAAGTCATTTTTGCCTCACGTTTGCATTGTTGACCTTGCGTGACGTCATTCGTACGTCACTAGGGTCATAAGAGTTTTTCGTCAATAACTCTCGATCAAATTGAGCTAGAGAGACGGGAAAGCTACCAATGGACTCGGGAAGACCTTGCGAATCGAATGATGTGCAATATGATCTCATTCACCAAGCTTCGTGGCCTGACCCGACTGTTAACCATCTCTGTGGCGGCGCTGTTTGTCCAGCGCCGCGCCGGTTGGCTTTGCCGCGGAGTCGGGGCGGTCACGTGATGCCCGGGGGCTGGCTGCCGGCTGGGCCGCCCAGTCGGGGAGCGGAGCCAAATACACGGCAGTGTGCTGACCCGAGGTCAGCGACTTAAGCTGACCTCACCAGAACAAACAGTATACCATTCGACGCGCCGGAGCTAGGCAAACACAACGATGCTAAAATCGCGGCTCTGCGACCATTTGTTGCGAAGTTATCTACCAAAAACCGGACCCATAATTTGGGTCACTTGAAATGACCTCAGGGGTCACCAATGAACCCCGAGACCTTAAAATGTGGTATCATTCGATGCATCTTGTAACGGCGCACATGCTCGTTTTTTCCGCAAGGTTCTAGCTCCATTAGAGGCGAAACGGCGAGCTAGGGTCGTATCGACCCCCCGGAAACCCATTTTGTATGCATTAAAATGAGGAACTTATAGAAAGAACACCTTTCTAATTTTTTGCATGTCGATTTTAAAAGACCTAAAATTTATTTTGAAGAAATAAAAATGGCAAAAATTTTGGTCCCAAGGGCCGTTATAGGCAATTAAAAAAAATATTACGGATTTTTTCAATATGTAAAGCTTTTCTTTCCAATTTTAAAAAAGCTGTATTAATCTTTGATTCATCGTTAGTTCAAAGCTGTTTACCGTTTGTTGTTTGCTTAGCTCATTTTTGAGTTATAGCTCATCAAACTCACCCTTACAATCTGAAGTTTAGAAAATATTATGCAATGTAGCTCAAAAAGTTTTCATCTGAGAAGTCTGATATTTTGGCAGGTGTTTTTGGAGCCTATGATTACCCCTAGTACCAATTTTCATTCAAATCTGAGAGATGAGGGTGACGGGCCTGGTACGATCTATCGTGGAATGCCCCTGCTGTCAGCGACCGGAGCCCGCGTCACCTCCATCCGGGGTTTACGAATAGATTTTGGCCCACCGGGCGGCTCCCGGCCGTATTGGAACACTTGGCATCGGTCTTAGACAAGGTCTTACGAAAGTTTAAGCTTCCTTTCGCACCTTAGACCCCTGATTCAGGCTATGCCTAGGTGACCTCACATTGACCTCCCACGTGATTACATGACCTCTCCTCTGAATTTATTCATCGGTGGGCGAGCTTGTCTCTAATTTTGGTCCTGTTTCTCTAATCCGGGAACATCTAGTTCGGCTATTTTAGTGATTAAAATAAAAATGCGTGAAAATATATGATTTCCATTTATATGTATATAGATGACCTTAAAGGGACTACCTATCCCACCTTCAAAAAAGTCCCGTTTAGGATTCGAAAATGTTACTCATGATATTGTGACGAATTCTGCAAGTTTTTACGCGTTTTCATCGTATACTTTTTGAGATATTGCGACTTTTATATTTCATCGTGACGTCATTTAGATCGGATCTGTGACGTAATGAAGGATTTACTTCATGTCAGTGTGGGGAAATTTGGCAGCAAATATAGGTATTTGCTCTCAAATATGACTCGACTCGTACAATAACAAAAGTGTCTCTGATTGGCTTATTCGTAAATCAAGTGATACTTCACTTGAACAGGCGTTCAAAAGGCAAATGACGTCATCAGATTACCGTTAATGGTTAAGAGATTGGGCCTTGCGCAGGGCTCATTTTCAAATGAAGGGAACGAATTTCTTCAACACCACGAGGCCGCGGGGGTTGCAAGTTGCAACCAAGATAGATAGTGGTTTCTGGACCTCGCCGCAAACTTGGCTATCTCAACTCAAACCTAATGTAAAGGTGGGATAGTCCCTTTAACTCTGCTGACTCTACTCGGCCCCACTCAGATCCGACCTCTGACCCCTGACCCATATCCTGACCCCTGCTGCGTGCAGCGTACGTCACGGCCGCCATCCGCCACTCTTCTGTGCCGCTGTGGATCGGTCTGACGTTCATCAGGGTGGAGCACCAGTTCCCTACGTGGACGGACGAGTCGCCCGTCAACTATACCAACTGGGCGCCCGGACAACCATCCAATGTGGTAAGGGCGACCGTACAATCCCTCCCCCCCCCCCCTCCCATATGTGGTAAGGGCTCCCGAACTCCAAGTTGGTGAGGGATCGAGGGTGATGGTGTGGCGATTAATGTGGCATGGCATTAGCAACGGCATAGATAACAGTAGAACTACTGTTCTACTGTTATCTATGGCGCCGGAGTAAAAATGAAAATTGCACTATCTGACAATATAGACGCTGATATCCAGACGATTATATTTGTTCGGCTATATCTAGACTATTATATCTTAGCGAGTAAATCTGCAAATGAAGTTTAGACGGTTAAATCCAGACGATCAAATTTAGACGGTGATGTTTATGCAAATGGTTAAATCTATATAGTCGGTTAGCTCTAAACGGTTAAATCTAAACGGCTAAATCTAAACAGTTAATTCATAAATGCAAAGAGTTAGATTTAGACGATCAAATTAGACGGTTAACTCTGCAGTAACAAATTTAGGAAGATGATTCTGGACAGCATGATAGAAATGGTTTGGCGTGATTCAGAGTGCTAGTTTAATGCGAAGTGGCAGGCTGCCCGGTAACGCGATGACGGTTCAAATGCACCGTGACGGCTGTCCGACAACACTGTTACGGTATCTGCTGCAGTGTGACGGCTGCCGTGTAACACTGTGACGTCTATGTTCCAGTGTGACGGCTGCCGTGTAACGCTGTGACGTCTATGTTCCAGTGTGACGGATGCCGTGTAACACTGTGACGCCCATGTTACAGTGTGACGGATGCCGTGTAACACTGTGACGTCTTTGTTCCAGTGTGACGGCTGTCCGGTAACACTGTGACGTCTGTGTTACAGTGTGACGGATGCCCTGTGACCCTGCGTGTAACACTGTGACGCCCATGTTACAGTGTGACGGATACCCTGTGACCCTGCGTGTAACACTGTGACGTCTTTGTTCCAGTGTGACGGCTGTCCGGTAACGCTGTGACGTCTGTGTTCCAGTGTGACGGCTGCCGTGTGACGCTGTGACGTCTGTGTTCCAGTGTGACGGCTGCCCGGTGACGTGCGGCCTGCTCGGCTCCGCTCGCAGTCACTCGCCCGCCGCCTGGAGCGCCGTCGACTGCTCGCAGGCGTTCCGATTCGTCTGTCAGCGCTGGGCGGCGGCTCCGGAGGATGTCGGTCTGTCGACCCCGGCAGTGGATCAGCAGCCCCACTGTGCGCCGCCGCTGGACGGCTACAGGAAGGATGGCGAGCTCTGCATCAAGGTGCGTCAGTCGGGTATGAGTAAACTTCATACACTCTACCTTGATCTACTTCGAATGACGGTGAGTTTGGAGAATTACAGTGGCAAGGTAATCACAATGAAGGAGTTCCGACAGACCAGATCCAATTTGTCGCAAATTGCTATCGGCGACATCAACTAATTATGCAAATCGTGTGCTTAGTTGAATGCCTACGCCAGCTGGGGCGGCTTGTTTTCATTTCCAGAAGGTTTGGCGGGTTCGATGGGTTTGGACGGGGCCCAGTTGGCAGTGGGTGGGATGGCGGCGGGAGGGGGGGCAGCCGGTATTTCGATGGTGGCATTGTGTGTGGGTTGGCACGAACATGGGCCAAGTTCGCCCGATCGCCGGAAGAACGCCGAGATGGTCGGCCATTCGATGGGTCAAATAGGTACATCTAAGCTAATCACTGCTCAGAATGGCTGGCTAATCAGCTCCAGCAGGCAGGCTCATGTGCTCCTGCTGGAAAATATCATCAAGCATTTCCGAAATATCCACACTGCAGGCGGCATGGGACAAAACTGAATAGGGCAGGGCCGCAGGGGACATGGGCAGGGCCTATCAATGAATATCTCTGGGTAGCTGGTTGCACACAGTATTTGCGCCGGCAAAATGCTGTCGAACTACCGATAGCTCAGTGATTTTCCCACCTGGGTTACTTTATCTAACTACCAGCTCTTGTAAACTGAAACAATTACCAACCTCCCCTTCTGCCAGCATAAGTAATGGATGTGTTGTTTCCAAGTGGCTACATGACAGAAGAGTGTCCTTTTGGCTGGGGACCTTGTGACTCGGTGTGCATGGCATCCCAGCTCCTCAGAATGACTCAACAGACACCACCGACATCTCCGCGCGGTGGAGCCGACTGCCGAGTCATACTGTCCAACCACGCGACGGGGTGGGACACACACTCCAGCCAGTCGGTGGGGGGGGGGGGGGGGTTGCCGAGTGAGTTTTACAGTGAGTGTCACACCGTGACGGTATGTGACACCGTGACTCCCCCGCTGCAGGTGGTGCCTCAGCCCGCCACCTGGCGAGAGGCCTCGGCGGCCTGTCGGGCAGAAAACACCAGTCTCGCCTACGTAGGAGATGTGTTCGACAACGCTCAGTTGATGAAGCTGCTCCACACGGAGGACGCAGACCAGGACTTCTGGCTGGGACTCAGTGACACAGAGGTCAGTAGATGTCACACTGGGTCAGGACAGGTCAGGCTAGGTCAGGTCAGAGTGGCAGAGGTCGGACCACAGATGTAGGTTCAGGTCAGAGGTTAGCTCATGCTAGAGGCGAGCTCATGTCAGAAGTATAATGGCCAAGTCAGGGAAGAGGTCAGGTGTGGGCAAGTCAGAAAAGGTTGGAACTGGGTATTTCAGATCGACAACGAAGCGGGGTCGACGAAGACGAACATGCACCTGTGGGTTGCAGGTATTTGACTCCCTGTCTGTGCGTGTCGCAGCAATACGGCATCCAGCGGTGGCAGGCGCCGTGGCCCGCGGAGCCCACCTTCACCAACTGGGAGGAGCGCTCCCCTCAGCTGGCCGCCCCGGCCATCTGCGCGGCGCTGCGGCCCAGCACCGGACGGTGGCGACATCTATCCTGCTCACAGCGGCGGCCGTACGCCTGCGTCAGCCGGCCGCTGGCGCAGAGGGCGATGCCGTCGGCGGCCGCCAGCTGTCCGTCCGCGCTGTGGACGGCCAGCGAGCGGCGCTGCTACCGGCTGCACGAGGGCACCGAGCACACCCGCACCTGGGCAGAGGCTAAACGAGCGTGAGTAAAACCTGGGCAGAGGCTAAAAGGGCGTCAGTCGAGCACCCCCGAAACTGGACAGGGTGTAAGTTGAACCCGGGGAAGCTACCGCACGACACCGGACCACTTCCGGCACCTGGGCTGAGATATTGGGTGGGGTATGGGCGGGCGTTTTAAAACTTGTGATAGTTTACTGCTGATGGTAATCTGTGCCGGGGCGGTGGTCTGATCGAAACAATGCGAGGTGGGTTGATCCATTTATTATACGCTCGCAGGTTACCTCGATTTCAGCACTGACTCACAACCTACGACCAATCATGTTCAAGGCACAAACTAATAATGATAATAACAATTTATCACGCCCCTATCTCAGGGTGAGTCACTCAACTCCTCGAACAAAGAACTGCACCCGGCTGTTAACTTATTCGCGGCACGTACCGGACATGGGACGGTGCCGGGCTGTAAAGTCGACCACAGAATAATGTTCCACTTTTCACAGGCAATTATTTGCCTGGAGTGGTAGGCTGTGCCGCATCACACGGGCTGAGTTCACAAATTATAGCTTTGTCCCAATGCTCACAATCGACACGCTTAATTGCGTGATAAACGGCAAAACTTAGCGCTCCAGTCAACTGATAGCTTCTGAGGAGTGGAACATCATTCTGTAGTCGACTATACAATGCACATCCGACTATACCGACTACCGAGTACCGACGTCAGCCAGGCTGACGGGCGGAAATTGCCGCGAGTAGCGGCGGACACTTTTTGCCGGTCATGTTGAAGTTAGCGAGTGGCGACTCACTGACTTTTTCAGGTCAATAAGTTAAATCCTTAGAATCTCCGTTCAAGCGTGAACTTATTCCACCAAACTATTCCGTTCAGGTGTCATCAGAGGTCGTTCCTCAGGCCGAAATATATGACCCTGTCACATCACTACCGTCTGCTGCATGTCGTACCAAACATGCGGAAACACAGCTTTTAGTCTGGTATCGCTGGACGCACCTTTTCGGTTTACTAAGGCAGGTTATTACTGGTAAGAAAAAAACTTACATGCCTATTGCCTATTGAGCCAGTCTGAATCGTCTCTAAGCGCTTTCGTGCGAAACAATAGTGATTTCACTTGCATGCATTTATTTCGACTCAAAGTGTACTCGTATTGAGAAATTGCAAAAGCACAACAAAGCTTTAACCCGGCCGGGCCCGGGGGGTAATCCCAACCACCGCAGCCCGGGGGGGCGTTTTTCGCCCCCCCCTGTCTAACTCCGTAAATAAGGGAGCTACGGAAACAAAAGCGATACCAAACGAAAGGTCCTTACGAGACGATTCTAATGCACCTAAAATTTTTGACCTCAGGTCAATTTTCAAGGTCAGAGGTCAAGGTCAAAGGCCAAAACCGGCACATGTGTAGTGATCTCAAAGTAAGGCTTCTAGAGGACGGCAGGCTGCATCAAACCGGCAAAATTGGGTGTCAAACGAAAGAAGAGAATCTGAGGATTCTGAAAATGTGCTCCAAATCAAAGGTCAAGGTCAAGGTCACGCTCAAAATTGACCTCAAACCTGGCACTTTTTCGCACATCTTGCGTGCTAACTTCCAAGATGTTTTGAAATGTTTTGAGGCTTATCAGTTCCCTATTTGTGGTCCATCTTACGATACAAGGCTGCTCAAAGGTCAAGGTCACAGAAGAGTATCCCTGCTAGAGGCTATTTCACTGATTTAAGTTAGTAATAATAAATAAGACAATTTTGCCATCCGGAAGCTCTAAATGAAGGCTTAGAGGAAAATAGATGCCAGATTCGTGATCAGCGGGTACAAATCCATCATAAACGACCTTTCATGTGTCAAGGTCAACCAGAGGTCATTCGAGGTCACATGAGGTCAACATGAAACTTGACCTTTTCCGAACAAAATATATATCATTCGACGCGGCTTGACAAGGCGAATGCGATGGTACCACTGCCGTAGCTCTAGGACCATTTTTGTCGAAGTTATTTGCGAAAAACTAAAACCACATTTCGGGGTCGTTGACCTGACCTCTGACCTCAGGTCACCAAAACTATTTTTCTATTTTTCTTTAGGTCAAACGCTACACAGCCGTGCTCGTAATTTGTCTTTATCTCTAAAACTCTATTTTTAGCAGCTATTTGAAGTTTGCGTCTGTGACGCCGATTTTTGCCGTGCAGGGGTCTAGAAAAATGGACCTTGTGACGTCATCAAGGGGGCTAGGTCCAAATTTTTTACTTCAGAAGATGTCAAATTGATGGGAGAAAAGGTACTGAAAGTTTCGCCTTCCTAACCCTAAGCGTTCGGGAGTTATCGCAAATATTCGCCAGGGGGGGCGAAAAACGCCCCCCCCCCGGGCCCGCGAGGGTTAAACGTAGAACTTGGGAATGATAGCAAAGGATAGACACATTGGGCTGTGCGGACCACCGACGCGCCGGTACGGGCCGTAGCGTCAGAGACCGTTCCGCTGGGACGGGAATGTCCGATGGGACAGCCTGCCCTGGTGCTCAAACGGTCACCCCGGAGAGGGTGAAGTCCAACGAGGACTTGTCCTCGCCACCGGTTGTCTAGTGGGGTAACCACCAGCCCGGGAGGGGAGGCGTGAGAGGAATGCTGTTGGGTTTGTCCTGTCCTGAGGAAGGCCAGGACAGCTGGACGATCTGATGGCACCCGTGTGTGCACATTACCCTGGCTAGTACAGCAAGGGAGTCTCGCACACAGCCTCAGCGGCGTGGCGCTCAGACACGTCGGCCCATCCATTCTTCATGACTACGTGGGGCTCCAAGTCGACTGAGTTGCCCGGATGGTGATTCTCGCCGGTACCCCACCAGCGCGGGTCGTCGGGCGCCTCTCCCAGCCCGTCGATACCGATGTAGGTGTTGTCGAGCTTCTTATCGACGGCGCCCAGCCAGAGACTGTTGCCGTACTTGCGGTACATGTTCCGAAGACACTCGTTGTGGGCCTGACTGCGGGGGAGCGTCAGTCGGGTGCCGAGCCTCTCGCAGGCCGCCAGTGCCTCCTTGTAGCTGGTCGTACCGGGAAGACGGCGGAGGCAGACCTCGGTAGACGTACACCGGATGTAGTCTGGCGGACACCGTCCTGCACCGACAGGGACCGAGGAAAGTGCATCACTCACTAACAAGACAATGCATACAAGTACGAGAGTTTTGCAATATACAACACATTCACAGTTATATGAAAGTGCAATAAATTTATGTGATTACTGACTTTCGTGGGGCCTGATCATGAATTCGCGGCGGTAAGTTTTTCTATGGATGATAAGAAACGTAGCGCCACATTAGGGATTCCCTTTGTGGTTTGCTCATTGCTTCTGCTGTTTCATTATTTGATATAGTGAAGTACAGATGAGGTAAATATCCGCATAAAAATGGGGGAAATTTGTAATAAAGACTGTACTTCAATGACATGAGAGTTAAAATCCTGCGAGGCAAAAGGCGTTACTATCTACTACTCGATCCCACTCACCTATGCGTCGGTAGCTGCGCTGACCGGGCTCCACTCCGAACGGGGTCACCAGGCTGAGCCCGCGGTACAGCCGGCAGTCACCGTGGCTGTCCCTCCTGAACACACGGCAGAGCGGCTGCTGAACGCACAGGGAGCCACATTCCAGCTTAGAGGCGGTATGCCCGCGAAGGTATTTCATCTCATCGGTGCCTTGGATGGACTGAAGGTGGAACATGCTCGTCGCAGCTGCGGCGACCCCGGCGAGCCGGCCGAGGGTGATCAGTAGCCGGCCCAGAGTGGTAGCGGAGAGCGGCATCACCTCAGGCAGGTCGCTGATCGTCTGGTTCCGGACTGAGTATTGAGTAAAGGTCTGCGAGGCCTGGCTTACCTCTAGCACCTAGCAGAAGGCAGTTCGCAGAGATTTAGTCTAGAGAATCACGCCCGAGAGTGCCGTCCAGGCGGGCGTTAAATAGAAGAGTGTCCTCGATGAAGTGCTGATCTGAAGTCGACAGGTACAGACGCCCATCCACGGTGCGTCACCATGTGACGATGCCTGGATACCGGCACACATACTGGCCAAAAGCCAATCATACAAAACGCAGCAGGCGCCGACCAGAATGCCCCACATGGTCCCGCCCCAGGCAGCACATTAATCAATCACCGATTAATTCAACTGCCTCCGGCAAGGCTAAAAGGAAACGTGTCAAGAGACATGCTAAATGCTTTTCAATAAGTGCTCAGAAATCTGTCCGTGTTTTAAAGTTCTAGGTAGGTAGTAGGTACTCATTTTTAGTACCTATTAAGGCATTCTGTGTTATAAAGACGAAAAACAAAGCGATGCAGAGTGCCGTAGGAGATTCAGTGCTGCCGGCAGCGGCTGTATACCAATGGCAGTGTTATACCTACTATGCATTTCAGACCCCATGAGACCCTACTTTTCGGCGATAATTTCTTCAATTTTTGTCCAATTAGCTTGAAATTTTGGCAAACGATATTTCAGCTCAAGCGCCAATTTTTGTCAATATGGTCTCTTAACAAAATATCAAAATTTAGAGCACTTGTCGTTGGCTCGTAATGCTAATCAGTTTTTGCACCCGGATAGAGGCTCGCTCGCTACCGCACCGGATTGGATAGGAGCGCTGGCCAATCACGTTGCGCCGGGCCCAACTAAACTCCGCCCACTGGCCGTGACCGGGATGGGTCTATGCCGCTTCAGTCGGTGTCAGCACCGCGGAGAGGTCGGAGCGGGACCACACACACACAGAAATATTGAGCGGAAAAACGGTGTAATTGAAAGTACCAAAAGGAACATTTTTTTGGTGTAAAATTACTCTGTTTTCTGCGTAAAAGAACACTTATATGTGTGTTTTGCTAGCTTCGGAGTGCTTCACTATTGTGTAGGAGAACCGCTTTCGGTGTAACTTTACCGCGGATTTCGCGTTACATTTACGCACAAATATGTGTTTTTGGTAAAAAGTACCAAAAGGAACACTCGCGTGGTAATCGTACACAAATTCATGGCGGTAAATTTACACAAATAAGGCGGTTATTATAA